CATGTTTTGCTGTATATTCTGTATAAATGTTGTGGTTTTTTTTCTCTCCTTTAGAATGAGCTGTAGAACATTGCATTGCCGTTGATTTATTCACACTCTCTTTTGTTTCCTTGTTTTCTTTCTTCCCCTTTCCCCCTAGATCTACCAGGTTCAGAAGGTAGGGCTTGCTCTCTTTCGTTCTTGTTTGCATGTGTTCCCACGTCATGAGTCTTGCCAGCATTTCTAATAAACCTCTGAGGAATGGAAGGTGCATAGCAGGCTTTATATTCCCACGCATTTTCCCCTTCCCTCCCATAGTCTTGTGGGGTGCACAGTAAGGATGACCTGTGTAAAATGTGTCTGGTCGGGCACTTAATATGTTTTGTAAACACTGTTTGACAAAGAATAAGCAACAAGCAGGAAGGTAATTTGGCAAACAGCCATTGTAGGAGGGTGCGGTGGCTCCGTGTGTCACCAAGCACTGTACACACGTTTGTGTGCTGAAGGCTAAGAATATCACTGAGAAACACTTGGGGCTGGAGAAGCATTTAACATGCCACTAGAAGAATGACTTTGAGGTGACTTTGTTTGCAGTGAGTCATTGAAGTAAATCAGGGATATGCTGTGTTTGAGTTTATAATCTTTTGGTAAATAAACTGTGTGGCTTTTCATCCAGCGTGGCCCGAGCTTATAAATGCTTTTATATTGTTTAATCCCCTCCCACCTCTGTCATGATCTCTCCCCTCCTCCCAGTTTCAGTTTAGTAGTTCCAGAGGATGGTGGTGGTGTTAATAGCTCACTTTGAGGTCCCTTGCTACGTAACAAGAGAGAGTTTAGGTTTTGTGTTATGATGTTTGGCTGTTCCATACTTCCAGCATGTGAACTGTGTAGTACCTTAAAGAGAAATGGCCCAAAAGAGATTTTGTAGTGAGGGAGAATGCGCATCTCTCTTCAAGCCTGCCATTTCCTGCCTTACTGAATATTGCTTCTGGTTTTGTTTTTTCTGAGGTATTTTTATTGCTTGCTGAATGATGAGTGTCTCTTTAAACCACAGACTGTTTGTCTTTTGTCCTGGCACTCCTGCTCCCTTAACTGCATGTTTCACTTGCTTGACTGAGCAGTGCACGTGCTGCTTGGAAATGCTGTATATGTATACGTGCATATGTATATGATGATAGCTACTCAAATCATGTGCTGTGTCATTTAATCCTGACCCCATCAGTTTGGCCACAAATACATCTTACTGTTGTTTTTATTTGCCAAATTGGTACGTACTAAGTAATTCAAATCAACGTCTACCTATGGACCAACAGGCTCGTTATCAATCTCCTTTATAGGAACTAATTTAATCTTCTGGTACAAACACAGCCCCACGGGAGCCCAGGAGGGTGTTTACTGTTGGTGTCCTGACATGGAGGAGAAGTTGGTTAGCCTCACACCATCCTCTAGTCAGTTTGCAAGTCTAGCAGTTTTGCTGTCGCATAGTGAGTAAATCTGATATGGAATTCTCTCTCGGTGGTATTAATGTAATGAATTATTTAATTGTAGTATCAGTTTTCAGGATGGAAGGGAACTTGAGTCTGGAAGAGGTCTCTAAAAAGCAAATGAATGGATAAGCACCATTTCTTCCTTTAACCCATGCAGTCATTCAGACCAGCCCCCTTGGGGCAGAACAGAAGAGTCTACATGGAGAAAGAAACGGGAAGTGGCTGAGGGGACAAAATACCTGAGACTTCAAATTCTGCCAGTTCAGTACAGGGTGAGACATGCTGTTTGAAAGATCATAAATTAAAATAAATAGTCTCAAGGTAATCACATTCATTCACTTTTTTCATGTGGGGATAGTAAGCATGTAGCAATGTAATTTTAAGTGGAACTTGTAACATAACAAGTCTTAAGGGCTGTTTCCTTACCTGCCTTTTGCAAAACTGAATTCAGAAGCTTCTGTGTGAAAGTAAGGAGACAGCAGATCAAAGAAGCAGCACCTTACAAAAATTATTAGTGTGTTTATGGATCCTTCCTGTGTGGATTCTCTGTTACCACGGTGGTTTCTAAAGCTGATTTCTAGTGTTATAAAATGTTATATATCTCTCGGGGGAGGTAGAAAACCTCTAGTAAGGCTTTACCTGACCTGGTTTACTACAAAGCATATAATCTGTAGGTTTAGGTCATGTACACAATCCTGACTATGTGAAGTACATAAAACTTAATGCAACAGGCTGTTGTACATGTCATGCTTCTGCCTGGCAGTAACTCGTCTAAGCACTTGTGAGGAGGTTTGTAATGCTGGAAGATACAGTAGTTCATGTCATGCCCTCTTATTTTCATGTAGTTTAAGGGAGAAATTTCACTTGGGTGTAATTTGGCTAGGCATTGTATAGGGGTATTAGATGTATTTGGGCACACAGCAAGATGCTTTGCAGGTAAAAGCAAAAGGGAATAATCCCCTGTTCTTATGAGGATGTGGTTAAAGAGCTTTTTGAACTGCTGTCTCTTTTCGTTGCTCCAGAGAGATTTCTGCATACTATGTAAATCTGCAAGGCAGTTAATTTATTTTCTCTTTTCAAATTGCAGTCCTAAAAACTATTATTTTTCCTAATAATGGGATTGCTGTGAGCTCTTGCCTTTTCCCAGTATGACCCCAAAACTGACAGCATTTAAAGGTCCTTGTACAGTTTGGACTCTCCAGGGTGTGTAATGGAGCACCTCACTGCCTGTTCTAATTCATAACATAATTTCTCCTCTGCAGAGCTGTTAAGATGAAAATGAAGATGACCTAAATATGACAATAGTTTTATTGTTTAATGAGGAAGAACTCTGAAGTGGGAATGAACTGATACAATACCAAAGAACACACAGCTGTTTGGTCTCGTTTATTAACAAATAGCGACTGAGGTTTTTAAAGGTGAAAGAAAAATTACATTAATACCATTGAGTTGAGTGTTAAATGCAGAGTGTAATACAGAACAGGTTTCTGGGTTTTTTATCATTACCCAGGGTTTTGACTGTTAATACTCCTGCCTGCTCAAGTCTCTAGGAAAGTTGGCAAGTACAGGCTCGATTTTTCCACACATACATGAAACTCAAAGCACTGATTTGATTTTCTTTTAAAATATATATTGTCCTTAAGCAGGATTTCTGTTTGCTGATTACTGTGCTTAAGGCTGATGAGTTCTCCTCGCACAGGAATGTCATGGTCACCATTATAAATGCAAACTTCCTGAGGCTGGGTTTGAAGCGTGTGTTTGAGGAGGAAGAGAAGTCCTGTTAAACCCACAGATCTGTCTGATGGAAATTCAAGTTGATTGGGAAATCCCCAGTGTTGTGCAGAGATTATGAACTGGGAAACTTACACTGCTTTAATGGCAGTCTCCTAAAAAATGCATGGTGTTTGTTACTGAAATACAGAGAGCTTTCCTGTCTCGCCGGCATTGGTGACTTATGTCCTCTTCTATCCTTGTTGGTGACACCACTGCTGTTAAGATGGTTCAAGTGTAGGCAAGAAGCCTTGTGCTCTGAACAGGAGCTCTCAGGAGTTTGGCATGCAGCGAATAAGAATGCACAGAGACGAGCTGTGTTGTATTCAACTTGTCTTCCTTTGACAAATCTGTGTGGGAAACATGATTTGACAGCATTTTTCACCTCAGAAGTGTTCTGTGTTTGGATCCCTTGTAATGAGTCTTGACTTAAATGGGTCAGGAATTCAAGACTCATTACGCTCCTTGCTTTTGACCCCACAGCACTGTTGTTTTTTCACTGCTGAGAAGGAAGCTCTTGCATACCCTGGCTGTACCTGAAACATGGCTTTCTCCTTGACGGGCAACTCTTCCTGGGCATGTGCTTCTGAGGGCTCTCGTGGCACTTGGATCAGCTTTTCGCCGGCATGTTTGCGTGTGTGGAGCTGTGTGGCTAAGCATGTCTAAATGTTCTGTGTTTGCCTTTCTCGTCTAAATTCTGGGCTTTTTTTTTGTCCTTTTCTGTCTCTAGAAATATTATGGTCTGGATACTAAATGGGGAGACATCGAGCAATGGATGGTAGGCCTTAATGTAGATAACCAGCTTCTATGTGTTGAAGTTTTCTATAGTTCACAGTGTTTGAAATCCTGCAAAGTAGGTGTTTTCATGTATTGGAAATGTGAATTCTACTCTAACCACAACCATTCCTGCTGTCTGCATCAATACCTGCAATATGGCTTTTGATCAGCTTAAAACTGGCAAGGGTTTGGTTAGAGACATCTCTTTTTACAGACCTTTGTCCCCGCTGTCTCGCTTGAAGATTAGATTATCATATAGAACCATTAAAGCCACTTGTGTTACAAGGAATGTATGTTCTCATCTTACTTCTTGTGGGTTTTGTTACAATTTGAGTCTTACCCAGTCTGCCTTCAGGTAAATTTTCAGCATTTTTTATCCATGCTGCTTTAGTGACTTTGTACTTACTGATCCAGGGGTACTCTTCAGATGCATTATTACTGCTGCTATGGCAATGCTCACTTTTTCCAGTAATACAGTGCCCTAGATATTACTGTTTGCTAAGTTGATACCAGATATGGGCTTGGCCATTAGCAACATCTGACTGTGTTAACCCCCATAATGTACAATGAAGAAGTTGCTAAAGTGCTGGAAGACACTGGCTTCAACTGTCTTGGAAAGAGTCTATTTCAAAGGCGGTGGTGCTGTGTGTCAGAGAGGCGTAATGACAAAATTACTGTAAGTTTATTGATTCCCAAAGGTAGAGAGATGCGCTTGAGATGTTATTTGGGATAGAAATAAAGGTGTCATTGTGTGCAGTTTTTCATAGAGGTGTGTAGCAGAATAAAACGGGAATTAAGCTGGGATCACGCAGGAAGGGAAACAGTTTTTTTCTGACCTGACAAGCTATCACCTTCTGTTATTTGGTAACCTTACGGACTCCTAGACATTGCTGAAGTTCACTGTGTCTTTCTGAAAGCTCTCTGTTGGTGTATGTGTCCTTTCAACACTTCACTCTGTTTTTTTCTTTTCCTCTGCCACCTTGGTAGGAAGACAGTGAGCGTTATTCCCGTAGAGCCAGAAGAAATGCCTCGGTTAGTATCTACTTTTGCCTTTTCTTAGCTAGACATTTCAAACTAAGAAAACAGACGTGGATAAGGCAGTTCCTTTTTAAAAGGAAAAAACCCAACAACCAAAAGGGACCAAAAATAAGCTCTTGCCATCCAGGCAGGGGAAACCCCAAAACCACTTCCTGAGTTCTCTGCCTTCTCCCCAGTCACTCTGAGGAGCTTTTGAAAATGTGTTAAAATAAAGGGGGTCAGAGGGTGGAAGGTGGAGAAATAACCTGCTCGGGGTGTTTAATATTCATTTATTCAGATCGTGAGCAGAGAACACCTCAGCAAGGTTGTCATTCATCTGATAGTAAAATGCTTGACTGCGTTCCTTGGGCAGGGTATGATTTCATTTACTTTCTGCTCATAGGTTTAATGAGATTCTTTTTTTAAAGACATTTCTTTTGTATGCCTTCTCTTTCCCTCAGTCCCATCAAAGCCATCAGCATTTACCACCCTGCCTGTTACTTGTATTTGTTTTCATTGTTTTCTTGTCTTTATACTTTTCTTCTGATAGGCTTCGGATGAAGATGAGCGCATGTCAGTGGGTAGCCGTGGAAGCCTGAGGGTTGGTAAATTGTACAATTTAAGTGTGCATGTGTGTGTACTGATGTTGCTGTTGGGCTGTTGTTGCTGTTCCCCCCCCCCTTACCACCAGACGGGTTATAGTACTCTGATACCGTCTTTGTGAAGTCTTGACATGTTCCGTGTCCAAACCATATGCTTTGGGTTTTTCCTGAGTACATGTACGTCAGTAATTCTTTCAGTCAGGGGAATGGCCAGATTAGCACGCTCAGAGCAGGAACACCAACAGAGCATGTGACTGGAGATCTGGTAACTGCTGTTTGCTCTTACTGTTGCAGGGAGTACTTAGCCAAAACGTGGGTATATGCAGCTATTTCATGTATGCACCTTGTGAGTTCCGCTGTTTCATAACCCATACTGAGAATTTGGGAAGAGGAAGTGCTAGCTTACTCCATAATCACTGTTTATGAGCTCAGGAAACCAAAAGCAAATTATCAATGGAAATAAGTCTTAAGCATTTTGGAACTGTAGGTGAAACACTCTCCTCAAAACTGTTTCAGTGATATTTGAAATTGATCTGCAGACATGAGTTGTGGATGGGGGTATTAGTAGAGCAGAGTGCTGTGATGCGCTGGTGCTCATCTATCTGTAGCACAAACTCAAGTATTTTATTGGGTTTTTTTTCTCAAAATATTCATACAGTATTTTTTTAGATCTAGTACACATGGGTACAAATCTTAACCCTATTCTAGCATAGACATAATCAGCTCTTGGAATTGTGAAGACAATTTAAGCAATTTAGTGGTTGTGAGCTGCTAGTGCTATTGTCTCTGTGTGTGTCAATAGTCTTCAAAGATGATCGGAGCTTGCTGCTTCGGAGACTTGTGGAAAAACACTCAGCTAAGCACAGAACTGAAACGATCCGTAACAGCGCTAGGGAGGAAGCTCTCAGCAGTCCTGAATGTGAATCAGCTGTGGCCAGTTCTTGTTTCGAAGCCATTGTGCCTAAGACTCCTGTGTTTGAGAATAATTTCTTCTCCTTCTGCGTTGTTCCTCATGTATCAGTAGCACCAGTTATGTGGGGCAAGCTGGATGATTAGTTCTAGTTTTCTGGAACAAGCAAGACCTATGTCATTGTTTGTAATCTTTGGTTTCTGGCTTCTGTGGAGATTCCTGGGCAAGTATCCCCAGGAGAACAGGACTGGGTGTCAGACCTCATGTGCCTTTGAAAGAGCCTGGAAGATGAAAAAAAAAAAGCAAAAGTGACTACTGCAAAGCATGTTCAGTGACCCCAGGGGTGACTTTGTGTTCTCTGTGAGGTACCACAAAGATACACTTTAAAGTGTTGCCTTGTTGCCTTTTTCCCTTATTGCTATTTATGAAATGGTGTTAAAATCTTTATTCTTCCAGACCACAAGCTGGTTTATGTGCTTGTTTATGTGCTAGAAGATGCCTTAAAGAACCAGGGATTTGATGAAGAAAAGCTCATCCTCACAGCTGAACATGCAAACTAATGTTTATTTTACTTAGAGTTAGATTTGGACATGTTCATGAAAGTCTTTGTTGGAGGGGAGAAAAATATCTCTAGATCAGTTGAAATTTCAGTTCTTTCTATTTAGAAGGTGATTTCGATACAACTGGGTTGTTTAATCATGGCTATAACTGTGTGTCCCTTGATGGAGCAAGATGCAAGCACGCTGTCACCATATTTAACAGTGGGAGCCCAGTTCACCTGAGAAGGGGAGATTGAGATGAGCTCTTAGGCAGAAGCTCTTCCCTGTGAGGGTGCTGAGGCGCTGGCACGGGGTGCCCAGAGAAGCTGTGGCTGCCCCATCCCTGGCAGTGTTCAAGGCCAGGTTGGACACAGGGGCTTGGAGCACCCTGCTCTAGTGGAAGGTGTCCCTGGCCATGGCAGGGGTTGGAACTGGGTGAGCTTTAAGGTCCCTCCAACACAAACTGTTCCATAATGATTTGATGATTACCACAAGTGTTTTCATGGAAATCCATGGAAATCCTCATGATGGTTTCTGTACCATGATCCTGTGTTCTGTTGTTAGATACTTGAAGAGCAGAAGCCTTGCATTCTGCCTCCCCACCATCCCTCAAGAAGCTTTTCTGAACTCTTTTCCTGGAGCTGCCTCATGCCTTCTGGCTGTGATACCACTGCTGGTCTGGTGAGCAGCGGCTCCAGCTGCCTCACAGGATGGGCCATAAATCCCTAATACTTGCGCAAAGAATGTCCTTTTCTGACAGAAGGATCTGGTTGGAACTTCTCGCAGTGGTATTTGTAATGATGTTGCACAGACTCCCCCCTGTCATCGTAAAGTAGCATTTGATGAATGTTCTTACGCAAGCTGACGCTTGGGCGTGCACAGGAAAAGAGTTTTGACACAGCTTTCTTCCTTGATCCAAGTGTCACTGGGATTGTAGAAAGTAAACATTTGCTAGTCTGAACTGAAAAGCACCCTTACACAGCTCTTAATTGTTTTTTTCACATGGAATTGATAGAACATATAGTGACTTTTCGTAGTGTGGGTTTATAGTAGATGCTTTTAATGCTTTGATCACATCTCTGTGTCTCTTTGTGAAGGTTTGGCTCTTGCTGTCTTTGTGTTTTTGTGAAACAACAAAGTTAAAAACAGTTACAAAAAAAATGACCAATCTAAAAAATTACCTCTGAGGGGCAGAGTTCAGTCTGGCTTCTGAGCACCAAAAACTATTGCCTTGTGTCCACAAAGCTTTTGTAAAACTAGTTAGAGATTCTGAATGCTCTTCTTTTTTTTTGGCTATTGGAAGGCTTCCATAGTTGCAGAATGCCTTTGCAAATGATCTGCAAGGCTTCCAGTACCTGAAAACTGATCTAGCATCTTTGGGCACGTTGTACTGTGAGTGGCTGATGCTGCAAGGGGTTTTTTGCAGCTATGCTTCTTTTCTGTGCAGGAAGTTTTCAATGAAATGACCCAGTATCAGAGATGTATTTCTACCTACCAATCTGTGTGAGTTTTACTCTGTATTTTCTCCTGGAATGTTTTCTAAGTGGATGTCTCAACTGCAGGCACCACAGATCTGCGGAGTTAGCTTTTTGGGAGCTGGCCTGGATGCTTCTGGCAGAGCAACCATCAATATGGGCTGCAAAACCACCCTAGATGTTGATTAGACCAGGCTAGCAAATATATTTAAGTTCCACAGCTGTGCCTGTGCTGCACAGTGGCCTAGTGTGTTCATGTAGCACTAGCTTGAGCGCATCTCTGCCTCCTGCCAGCAGATCTTCCTCTGCGACAGGGAATCTGTAATAGCTTTCCCATGGGTCGTCCTGAACCCATGGAGAGTGCCCTGCCTTTCATTCAAGGAGTTCTGCAAGCTTGATGCTTTATCACGCAGTTATTCCTAGGGAAGCTCAGTTAACATCATCCTCTGTGTGTATGAGACACTCAAGCCCCTCTTTAGTCTCCCTTCTATACCAGATGTTCTTGTTCTCCCACTTCCAAGCTGGCTGCCTCTAATCTGAGACCATCCAGCATGAAATACTGGTGTGTTATTAATCATTCATGGTGGAGTTTGTGTATTTCCATGTTTGGTTTGCTGCAAAGTTTCTGACTTCTGGCTTTCTACAAGAAATTCTGCATTACCTAAGTTCTTAGTTGGGATATACATCTCTGTGCCTGTTTTCTGGGGGACGTTCTTTTGATTGCCATGACTTGTTCAGTGTTTTCCTTTGTATTCTGTATTTTTTCTTTCCTCTCATACCTTTACAGTCTCACTTGGAACACGCCAACACCTATCCAGTGGTGAGAATAGTCTGCAAGTTGGAGTGTGTGTTAAAAACTAATCCTGAATAAGAAACTAACATCAGTTGTGGTGGTTGATCTAAGATAAGGGGTGATCTGAAATAATCCTGAGGTAGTTTGTGATCGGTGATGTAAAGATGCTACTTCCCTCTCCTGCTGCTCAGATGCAGGTCACGTGAAAAGCCCTGGAGGATTAGAGAGATCTAAGCTAGGTCTAGTAGTTCAGTAGTTGCAATAGGACAGAGCAGAATAGCTTTCGTTTTCCCTAGCAGACCTTCTCTGTAACAGTCTGTTCATTGCTTGGCCAGGTCTACAAGTCACAGGCTGGTTTAGGTTGGAAGGGGCCGTAAAACTCATCCAGTTCCCACCCTCATGGGCACTGGACAACCTTCACTAGATCAGGTTGGTCCAAGCCCTGTCCAGCCTGGCTTTGAACATAGTCTGTCTGGTTTTATTTCAGCATAAATCTGGAAATGAATAAAACTTTCACACTGATTCATTCTGAATAGATCTAGCAAAGGTGACAGGACAAATATGCTGCCTACCAGAGCTACAGCTTGTGTGTCAAGCTGTTACCTTGGATTTAGAGGATAAAAAATCAAACTCCATAGGTAAGACAAGAGCAGGTATTTGTATTGGACATGCTCAGATAAAGCTGACTCTTGGAAGAATAGAAAGGGCATGGAAGGGGGAATGACGACTGGGACTTTAAGCTCAGTTTAAGAACATTTCCTTGTACTGTTAGCAGTGCTGTCTTGTGCCAGCACTGTGTTGAGATAGAGGCACCTCCGCTTCTGCAGAAAGCAGACTGCACAGAGCAGTGTTAGCAGCTCTAGCTTTCTCACCCTCCTCCATTCCCTGTGCTATTTCAATTACAGAATGCAATGTATCTATTTGTGAGTGACCCATATACAAAAATAGTTCAAACACATTGGGACTTTGCATGGATGTATAGATGTAGTTAAGTATAGACAGCTGGTAGCTCTTTTAATTGACTTAACCTTAGCAAGCATGAATGATTTTAACTGTGGTTACTAAATTTGAACAGTGCTATCGTCACTTTTAACAACATTCTTTAATAACTGGTCGTTTGACTTTGAGGTTTGATTCCCCGCCCCCCGCCATGTGTGCTTACTGACCCGTGTTGTGTAGAGCTGGAGCAAAAATGGACTGATGTTTTTGCATGGTAACGTGCATGCGTGGCTATGGATGGGTACACATAAACTCATAAATGCTTTTCATCCTGCATTCTTAATCTTACTGCAGGCTGGATTAGAGAATGAGAGGACCAAAAAGAAGAACTACTCCAAAGCAGTATGTATCTCAAATAATTGTCTTGGAGAGATTTTTGCATAGAAAACCACTGTGATAGGACAGAGAATATGTGCAAGTGTGTTGGTTGTAAGAGCTCACCAGCCTAATGTCAAGGATACAGTGTAATTATCAGAACTTCCTGGGTCTGTGAGAATACATCACTTATCTGCCAAATGTGGTATGATGCAAACATGTCAGTGTCGTACAGTAAGAACATCTTGAGAAGTTCAAAACCTAACTTGACACAGAAGTAGGTAATACTGATGAATATATGGAGTGAAGGCTGCAATATTTTCATAAAGGTAGTTCATAAAGGCATTTTTTACAAGTGCATGTAGGGACAGGACAAGGAGGAATGGCCTTAAACTGCCAGAGGGGAGACTGAGATGAGCTCTTAGGCAGAAGCTCTTCCCTGTGAGGGTGCTGAGGCGCTGGCACAGGGTGCCCAGAGAAGCTGTGGCTGCCCCATCCCTGGCAGTGTTCAAGGCCAGGTTGGACACAGAGGCTTGGAGCAACCTGCTCTAGTGGAAGGTGTCCCTGCCTGTGGCAGGGGTTGGAACTGGATGAGCTTTAAGGTCCCTTCCAACCCAGACCAGTTTGGGATTCTGCATAGTATTGATGTACAAATCGGGCACTACTTAGAGGTCTGCAAAGCCAGACCTGGGTGGAAGATAATGCATAATGTGCTTTCATATAGTCAGTGTTTTAGGTGAATCCCACAGGGAGTAATTCCAGGGAGTGAAGAAGTAAGTACATGAGAGAGGTCAAAGTGGTGTAATACTGCAAGAGGAAAAGATATAAAAGAATAGGGTCAGTTGCATGTGAAGGGAGAGCAAGTAAAATCTGAATATTTTAGCCTCCCTAGTATACAATAGTATTTGTTGTACTTTCCATTCAGATTATGATTGGGTGCTTAGCATGTTAGCGTAGCACAGGACAAAGGTCAGTGAGGTCTGGTAAAATTGACCCTGCTCTTCAAGAGTTGCCTGGAGTATTCACCTTCAAAAATATGTGCTGGAGAGGTTTCTGGAGAGGATGGGTGATAGTGACAGGGAGAATGACCTGAGCTACGGGGCCTCAGCTTGAAATATGAATGATACAGGGCAAATTAAACAAACACTCTATAAGGGCCTGATATACAAAGTGGTAAAGTGGTAAACCGTTTGTGGAAAATGAATCATGTTAATTCAACTTAATTTCCCTAAGCAGGTTAATTAAGGGCATAAAGGGAAAGCACTGGATGTGACTGTAACTTGACTGTAAGGCTCTTGGTGTGTCTGTACATGAAATCAAATGAAACCTGGGGCAAGATCTAGTTATTGTAGCAGAAATGCGCAGGTAGTTGAAAAGTAACTCTGGTAGAAAACAAGACAGTTGGAAAGGATCTCATCTGGTCTGCTCCCGTCTAAGTCAGCATCATCTGTTTTTAATGAAGAAAGCAGTTCTACAGGAGAGTGTATTGCCTAGCTGTGCGAGTACAGGGCGCGAAGGCAATTGTATACAAGGTTGGAATAAAAATACTTCTGATGAAAAGGAGCTTGAGTTGCCCATTCTTCAGCAAGATGAGTGTTAGGAGAATTTGGGAAGCCTGAAAAATAGTAAAAACAGGGTTGAAGCCAAGCTGTGTGAGGAGGCTGCAGCAGGATTTCAGATAGATTCTTCTTGAGAAAGGAAACTGGATGCTCGCCTTCTATTTATAGTGGTAGTATTGCAGTTAGTAGAGAATCTGAGCTGTTCCCAGAATTTGCTTTATCAGCTTGGGTCTAAACTGGTTTCTAATGTAAGTTGTTTATTTTTTCATGGAAAAATTAAACAAATTGCACTGAGTAGTATGTGATAAATACTTTGCTTGGAAATGGACTCAGATTGTGTTTAGTGGATTTTCATTTTAGGAATGCATTAAACCTTGGACTTAAAAAATTAATTTCAGTAGAAATTCTAGTTAAATTTTCACTAAACCCCCACCTCAGATACACAAGGTGCTTCCTCATTCTTGGTACTAAACCAGACCTTGCTGTGAAAGTAATGCCAGAATAGTGACTTGCTTGAGAAACCTGAGCTTCTAATGGTTTTGACTGAGGTGACTTTTGGCTTTATCCTCTTTTCTTAAACATCAATTTTCCAGACTAAAAACTTCATCATGGGGCTTGTTTTGTTTTATTCCTGACCCAGAAGCCTGCGTCTCGCCTGGCTTCTGAAAGGCTTGTTCTTGTTTTTAGCTCTTTGAGAGAAAACATCTTAATGACAACAGGGCAGGCTATTGAGCATGAGGGAGGACAGCTGGACTGACTGAAATCTCTCATTACTCTTTGGACCGCCACCCACTGGGGGGTGGCAGATGGTCACTGTCTGGGTTTAATTTTGAGGTAATTGGGGAAAGGTAAAAAGAAGGTATTTCATACAGCATTGCATGTTTACTAAGCTGAATTTCCCAAATATAGACTCAGAATTAATTCTTTTGCTACATTTTGCTGCCTTTAAATTGCTTGACTGTCAGAGGAGTAATTGCAGTGACATATTTGTTGTAGTCTCTTGTTCCTAGTGTTCCCTTCACTAGGGATTGTTGCGTTGCCTCCATTTGAAGACACAGGGTGCTATAGTAGTAATAGGGGAGGCGAAAGTGTTTCTTAACAGGGGAAAGAAGGGGTCAAAAAAGGCAAGCAGGAGTATCCTTGACATTTTTGGCTGGTATACGGGTAGTGACAGACACAGAAATGTTCCTGTTCTCATGTTTGAAATCATGACCTTATCCTGCACTTCTCCTGTTCCTGGTGTGTCTTTGAAACGTTCTGTCTCTGCCGTTGCTTTTCATAACCGATGACTTGTGCTGAAAATGCCCTTTTGGGTCTGTGTTAAATGTTTTCTCTGCTTTCTTTTCCCACTTTTCCTTTCTTTCAATAACAGACCAATGGTTATGAGGACGATGTGTATGGATCATCCCAAAGTAGAAAATCTAGCAGGGTTAGTAAGTTATTTATATTGCTATAAGGTTCGATTGCTCTGTTTGATGGGGTTAAAGCTAATTAGCAAATTCTTTTCTGCGGTGGAGCAGGTTTTTCCTGTTTTGCACGTTGTGGGGTTTGCAGGTTGTCAGATGCCGCGGTGCAGCAATGAGCTGTCTGGAAAAATAAATTAGGCCAGGAGTGGGAAGAGAAGTCTCCCAGCCTCGTACCAGTAGGATTTGGAAGCCAGAACTGCTTAACTTGGAAACAAAATTGAGTGCAAGTTCAATTGTGACAAGGAATAGCTTGGGGGCACCCAGAATGGAGGACTTCCATGTGCTGGACAACAGAAGGACTATTCTCCAACTTCTTGTACATGTTCATGTCGTGCTCTAACACTGAGAACTCCAGAGCTTCATGTAGAATTTAGCCTCTTGGGATTTGGATATGTAAAGTAGCCTTTGGATATTGAATTTTTCCCAAATGCCTGTTAAGTTTGCTTAACTAAATGCTTTTTGTTCTTTCTAAACTGTATCCCAGGGTTTCTGGAAACTCCCACAGAGGTGAACAGCCGGCTCAAGTGTTCCTACTTAACTAACTTAAGTTGATGTACTTCTGTTTCTAGAAATATTCTTGTCAAAGAAAGCTTAATAATTAAGTCCATTGTGTGTATGTGGGTCGCAGTGTTCCCCTCTGTTCCAGAACAAGTGTTTTGTGTCAATTACAGGAATTCATTGTCCTGCTGTGTTACGTATTGGGGTTTGTGCAGATTATTTAATGGGACTGCCCCAAGCAGAGCCTCTGGGGAGCAGGCAGAGTAGCTGTTAGGTTTTTTTTCCCCTGCCTTTATTTTAGTTACAGCATACAAAAGCTCAGAGCTTGTTGATCTGTATGCTATCAAGACTTCTAAAGAAATGTAGTGGTATGCAGACTGAAGCTCTGTGTTTAGGGGAAAAAATAAACTACTTTTAAGACTCCATTTAGCTAAGTATTTGAGCAATACATGCTAAACATGAGACTTCAATGACAAGCGTGAAGTTAAGCAGGCGCTTGATAAATAGTGAAATGGGACCTTATATTTCATGTCCGTTTTAAATTGTTGCTTCCATATAGTTTTATGCTTGCATTTGTGGGTAAGAAACAATGAAATACTGTTGCTTAAACTGTTAAGAAAACGGTATGTCCTGTTGTTTCCACTCTTGCTGAACTGTTTGCCAAGTTCAAGGAACTTTATTATGTCGTATGTCTGATAAATGATGTTCTTATTCTTTAATGATATACTCCAGAGCTCTGAGTACTGCAGGACGAGCAAAGTATCTGTAAGAAAGTCGTCCAGGGAAAAGAAGTTGTTTGGTTTCTGTTTAAATAATTTAAAATCATCTCTGTATTAGGGTTTGCAGCATGGAGGTTCAGGCTGTGTGAAGCATCAGTGTGGCAACAACATTAGCTCCCTGTATTTTTTGTAACTAAGCATAATTTAGCTTAATCATAGCTCAGAAGGGGGAAGGAAGTTTGGGGGTAACTTAGAATAATAGCTGAAACTCCAAACCAGTTGTCACCAGTCTGGCTGGGGTTCACCTTTAGGAATGCTCTCTCCCAAGCCTAACCTTAAAGGTGGTCAAGGTGACAGTGGAAAAACTAAGAGGATGAAAATTTATTAGGAAGGTCCGCAGAGAAGCAACGAGTCTGCTGCTAAGTTGTTTCAAAGTAGGTGTCCAGTTTTAAGGCACAGGATGGAGCCTTGTCCACATGGAGAAGAGCCTTTGTACATGGTACTTGCAATACCACAGGCTGATTCCTTAAATAGGAGTAGCACTGTGTGCCTAGGGTAGTCCATGTGCTGCTTACAAGCTCTCTACATGGGAGTGAATGTAACTTCTTTAAGCTCAGTTCAGGGTGTTCTGGTTTCTTTGCAGTGAAAGTCTTATTTTATGGACGCTTAGGGAAAAAAAAGTCAGACTTTTATTAATTATTATTTTCGAATTTGGACAATGATTTATTTACCGCACAATATCTATAACTGTTGGGTTTTATCCACAAATCTGTTTGCTTGCAGTATTGGAAGTCCATAGTGTCAAGAGCAAACAAGTACTTTAATTTGACACAGATTTCCCTGATTTGTAAATGGAGTTAACCCTTACACGGTTTATAGGGATGATGCAAGGATTAGTAAGGTCTTGTAAGAAGGCTGAATAATAGCTGACTACTGAAAGCAGAGTACCTTGGTTGTCTAGACCCTGACAGGAGAAGGGGAGTGTTTGAGAACAGCTGTAAAAGGAGAGCTCTGGAGCACAGCAAAGAACAAAGAGGAGTGGAGAGATCTTTTAAGACCACTGAACCATTCCCACCAGCGTGCCAATGGGAAAATGAATCTTAAACAATGCCTGTGAAAATACCTCTGCAGCTTGTGTATTGCAGCAGGGCCAGTCCGAGGAGGCTGAGCCAAGTACATAGGTCATTTAATGAGGGTGGCATGCAAGGAGGTGGTGTTTCCTCCGTGGCCCTGCACGCTGGCTGAGGCAGCTTGTGCTCGTTCCTAAGTGCGACTTCCTGCTGTGGCATTATATACCCTGCCTGCTTAGCTCAGGGCTGCATCTGTCCCAGCACGGCAGAGTAACTGTTTCATCATGTTTTAGATGTGCTGTTAGGCTGCAGTTTTCCTGAAAACAGGGAAAACGCAAAGTCCTTCCCAGTGTGCCTATGTTGTTTGGGTTCTCTTGGCTCCCTGAGAGCATCATGTGTCAGGTATTTTATTGAAAAATATAAAAACATTGTTCAGCCTGGAGAAGAAAAGGCTCTGGGGGACCTTAGAGCCACTCCAGTGCCTAAAGGGGCTACAGGAAACCTGGAGAGGGGCTTTGGACAAGGGCCTGTAGGGACAGGACAAGGGGAACGTCCTACTGCCATGCATTATCCATGGCAGTCTCCACTGACCAAATGCTTCAACAGCCAGGGACATCTTCCACTAGAGCAGGTTGCTCCAAGCCCCTGTGTCCATCCTGGCCTTGAACACTGCCAGGGATGGGGCAGCCACAGCTTCTCTGGGCACCCTGTGCCAGTGCCTCAGCACCCTCACAGGGAAGAGCTTCTGCCTAAGAGCTCATCTCAGTCTCCCCTGTTCTGGCAGGTTGAAGCCATTCCCCTTGTCCTGTCCCTACAGGCCCTTGTAAAAAGTCCCTCTCCAGCTTCAGTTAACTACAGTTAGGATGAAACTTTGGTGCATGAGCTGCATGCATGCTCCTGAAGTCCCTTACAAAGCATGTCCCTCATGGGTCTCTCACTGGGTTATAGCAGTAAGGGAGGAGGAGAGAACATGAGGATCTGAAGCCTTTTCAGTGGAAAGTAAACCAAATGGGTATTTTGTGCAGGGGATGCTAGAGGAAAGGCCTTTTTATCTCTGCCTCATGAATGGAAGGGGTACACGAGTTTCATATACCCTTGTATCTGTAATGCGTTTATCTTATTCTGTTTGCCTGTGACCACTTTGAATCCTTGCCATTTGTAATCTCCTTCCTTACTTTTTGCTTCTCATTTAAAGGAATTTAGGAAGTCTGTCACGTAATGAAGCTGAGTTCTCAAGGTTTGGTTGTGGTTTCTCTGTTTCTGTTATTAATGCAGGCATCGTACTACTCTGATCTGGGGCTCCACAACAGCGGCTATGCTTCTACATCTCAACCTTCATCCCAAAATGGAAACTGGGTCTGTTTCCCCCTGGCTTTACCTGGCCTGGATGTTTTGTTCTGACTTCATTTGGAGAATAACAACCTCTTGTAATTAGGACTGAATTTGGACCAATTGTCAAGAGTCTCTGAAGGTCTTTTAGTAAAAAACCTACAATCCTCAAAACCAACCAAAAAAAGGGGAGCAAAACACCAAAACCAAACCCAACTTTTAAAGATTGGAATGAGTAATGGAAAGCTGTTTTAAAATGAGCACAATTAGTTTTCCTTTGCTGCTCCTCCCTTTCCTCCAGTTACTTTGTTTACTTTTTGGCCTCAATTGGTCTGGAAAAATAAGGGAGATCTTAATTAACTGAAGTTCTCTGTTCTAGTTGAGGCAACTTCTCTGCTCACCTTGTCACTCTAGCAAGCTTAAGACAATCCAGTCTGCATAAAATGAAATTGCAAGCAAGTAATTCACAGACTGCTAGAAGAAAATCACTGAAGCTTCAGAATCACCCAGGAGGTTGGATTGTCCTCTGCATGTGGATCAGAGCTCAGCCAGGCTGGCGCTAGCAAAGAAGTGCTCAAGCAGTGGTCGGCAGCCTGTGCTGCCTCATAGGCAGTACCACCACATGGCCACAACCTGGGGCACTGTGGCCACTGCAGATGTGGACGAGGGGGGTGACTTGCATAGCAGGATGCTACCTGCAGGCTGTGGGCTGGGGACCACTGCTAGAGTACCTCTTGCACCTAATTATGTCAGATACAGATGAGCTTAATTGCTGCATCTTGTGCGTGGTGGTTACTAACAGCAAAGTCTTTTGTGATGCTCTGACTGAAGTACTCATAATTTCGTTTGGAACTGTTTGGATTTTCTCTGCATTGTTGTTTAATAATGACACAGGCGAGAGGTGATCTTACAGCTGTGTGAAGCACATAAAATGTGTGTCTTAAAACATGTAGCTCTTTTTCTGGCTTTGGTTGAAGTGAGGAGGAGCACCCTTTCTCGCTGCTATACACAAATGTGTGTGAGACAATTACAACTTTTAACAACCTAAACTTAGATTATGCTGATTTGCTTTTGCATACTCTCATGTGCTCCTTTCCTGTAGGAAATACACATCTGCTTGGTATTCTTAGTCTTTGGGAGTTGAGATCTCATGCTTTTATGGCACAGATTACTAACATTCTTTATACTGGGTTTCCTTCTGTTGCCGTTTACTAATCCTAATCTCATAAAAATGCCTTATTCTGCTGTAGGTGCCTTTTTTTGTTTCATTTTCTATGCAAAAAAAGTTTTGTGCTTGTCTTCCTCAGCCCTCCTTGCTGTGCAGCGATGCCCCAGCCAGAAGTTACAGGGTTTGTTGTACTAATACTTGAAACCCAAACACCAAAGCCACTCACCTTAAGGCATGCATATGTTGTCTCTTACCTCAGTAGTTCCTGTTGGGTTCGTTTATTTCACACTCTGGTGCTTGATCCATCTGAATGCATGTGGGCAGTGCTGTTTGTACAGATCTGGATTTGCTGATCCTTCCTTTTATTCCTCTTGGAATAAAACAAGGCAGAGGTATTCATCTCGACCTTGCGCTTGGTTTACAGATAAAACACTTTGAAAAGGTCATACATGAAGTCCCATCATAACCACTGCTCATGGGGTTGTGATGCTGCCATGGGCTTTTCTCTGGATGGGAGACAGTGTTCCTCATTTTGGGGTCTTAGCTACAACGTGCAGGAGAGAGGCAACATCAATTCTTTCTGTTGTGTAACAACAAGAATCTGTTCAAAACGATTTTATACCTGGATTTCACTTTTCTTGTTCAAACTTTCGAAATAGCTTCTCAGATGATTATTTCTTTTTTCTCAAAGCTTAAAGATAGAGTTTCCTACTGCCCCTGTGTTTCGTGAGCTGTACATTCATACGCTAAACTGGAGCCAGTCTTAAAACATGTATCTTCCTCCCCTTTTATTAATTTAGTAAACTGGCTGGTAAGTGATGTTCACCAGGTGTGAGTTTCCCACATATTGGCAGCACCACAAATGAAGGTTAAACAGGCTTGAACAGTTTAAGAATTGATGTAGCTGTTTTGTTGATAGGCACCGTAAGCTGTTGAATTGATGGCTGGGAGAAGGGTTAGAAATGCATGACTGTGTGATGGACTCGGAGGGATGTGTGTCAGATTTTGCACGTGCCTCATGGCATTTTCCAGCTCATGTCTTCAGGTCATGTTAGGTCTTCACTTGCATGTTGCTTGTGGTTGCATACGGGAGATGTCCCTGTCCTTGCACATACTGCTCATTCCTTTGTGCTGCACCTTGTGAACATGTAATTCCCCAGACTGAAACCAGAAACAAGGTCTGCCAGTCCTGCTCTGACTCTGTCTTTTAATTGTAGGCGTCTGTGTATGACGAGAGCGTTTACAGTGGGAGTCGTCGGTATAGTGCCTCTAGTTCTCGTGCTGTAAGATGTTTTCTGCATTTCCCTGTTGTCTTGTCTCTGTCCTCCACTAACCTGTGTGTACCAGAGCACAGCCTTTTCCAGGCTGAGCAGTGTTTAAGAGGACTGTGTGAGACCCATAACCTGCTGCTGTAGGCAGAACGACAAGCACCATTTCTGTGTGCTTCCATGAAATAATAAGGAGGGATTTATCTGCTGTTGTGATGCTCTGGCTCTCACTGACAGAATCCAGCAGTAGGCACTTGCCCCACTACAGCAAGGGTGTTCATCTCCGCTTCGCGCTTGGTTTGCAGATAGAACACTTTGACAAGGTGGTACATGGAGTCCCTTCCTTTGCTGAGACTGAAATCTTCTTCTGAAAATACAGATTAAAAACCACTCCCTTCTCTCAAGCCCTTCCTGCAACCCCTCTGGTTTGACTTGGGGGTTGGGGTGTTCTGGATTTATATGCTGTAACTAGGGTCTTGGGCAACTCAGTGTTTTCAGAATGCACACTCCTGTGAGTGGAGGGCTCTGTCAGTTATGGACAGCAACAGTATGAGGAATGGCAGTAGGAATTGTTTCCTTTCACGAAAGAGAGGCTGCAGGACTTGGTTTACGGATTAGAAGGCAGAAAATGCCATCATCTCTTCTCAGGTGGGGCCCCTGTCATTCGGGCCTGGCAGTACATCTGCTGCTGTTGTATCTGCCTGGGTAGTGCAGGCACACTGCTTACACTCTGATTGCCTTCACTGGGTAGCAAAAAAATCCCAACCAAACAGAAAAACCCCAACGAACAAAAAGCCACCACTGACACCTTAACAGAAAAAAGCCTCAGGACAAAGCACTGATGTCACTTTAACCTCAAAAGTGACAATTTTGTTAGCCTGGAGAGGGAAACACTTTCAGGAATGTTTACTGAGCACTTGTTAGCCTTTCCAGGGTGATGCCATCCTCTTGCGGTCACAGTGACGCAGTAGCTGGGCTGTGCAGTCTTGCTGCTGCGGCTGTTGAGCTTCAGAGGTTTGTGTCACAGTTGTGCCTGGTTTGCATCTGGCTCCTCTGGACCATTCATCTCTTGTTACATGCTTGGACTATTGTGTCAGCTTGCAGTCCAGTGAATTTGCCACAAGGCTGTGCTGAGCCCTTGGTTTTTATGGGATGTCTCTTTCTATTTGAGAGAAGTCTCTCAGAGGTCCAGATGATCCAGGTCTACTCTTGGCAGGAATCAGTGGGCTCCAAACCCAAATGCTGTTTATAAGCCTTTCAGCCACTGTTAATGGCTTCAGCAAGGAACACTGAATAAAACACTGGTGCTGGTTCCCTTTCTTCCTTCCCCATCCCACCCTGTGCTACAGGTATTGGAAGTCTGTGCATAATCCAGCCTTTCCACTTTCTTTTGCATGGTTGCATGTTGAGAGTTGAAGTACAAGTTTTTTGCCTCAAAGGGAATAGCCTTTTCACAATTGTGGGGTTATCTGTGGTTATTTTAGTGTCTCTGAACCTCATAGCACTTTTAACATGGAGTGCCATTTCGGTAGCTGTCCCCAAAGAATGATCTTGGTTAAGCAGATGACAGGTGAAGACAGGGGAAGAGGATAAAATTAGCCTTGCTTGGTCTCAGCCAGCTAAACAACTGATCCTTGCTTCCATGTTCTGCCCTGAAATAATACTAGGAGCAACTACAGAATAAATCAGTCCTGTGAAACATTAGTGTGGGGCTTATCAGCAGTTAATGCTTCTTACCTGTCATGTGTTTCTAGATTATTCTACATCCTTGTTACATTAAACACAAAAAAGTGGTGATGGTGCAAGGCTTCTGTGCTAGAACTACTTAACCCCAAAACCAAAATCTAAGTGTTTACTTCAGTGTTTTTTTGCTTCAATTTAGGAATCGAAGTGGCTGTGATTGAAAATAGCTGTGAATTGTGTGCAGCATAGTTCCAGATTCTGCATATTGTTATCTCTGAGGCTGAGCTCAGTAGCTCAGGTGCGTGAAGCCAGTGTAAGACATCTGAGGACATGGCTTGATCACGTTCTGCCCTGCTTGAAGGGCTTACTAAGGGCTGTATGCCTTGGAAAGTAATGCTTTGTGGTTAGTAACTAAGCTTATAGTTGCACTGTAGCTGGGGTTATTTCCAGCTTACCCTCTTGTCATTTATTAGTACTCTGAGCTTAATTTTCATTTAATACTGTGCCACTTTGTTAGCATAACTAACAATGCTGAAACAGTCCTCCAATAGCTTGTTGAAGATCTGACTGTCTCTGCAGACAAGAATTCCAGGGGATTCCTGTAGTGGTTGGGTAATTTAATAGAAGAAACCTTAACAGCAGAGTACATGCATCTTGGAAGTAGGTAATTCCTTAGACTGCAGTGGTTTTGTGCCTAAGAAACAGTCTTAAGTGCCTATGAAATCAACTGATAAAGTTTATTAGCAGCATAGGCTAAGCAGCTGAGGAGAACAGTTCCTCATGCTTGTTCCTGTCCCTGAACTGCCTCTGCCCTTGTGTTGCTTTTACACATGAAATGTGGCAGACTGACATGCCTCTCTACAAAGCCTGCATTCACAGTTACCTTGTAGTAGCAATAAGGAAAATACCGTGTCTGCTAAATGGGAAAAGTTGCTTTAATTTCTGTCTGTTCTGAATGAACTTCAGAGCTCCCTTTTATATATGCTTATGTATCTTTCTGTAAAGTACATCTAAATACAAGATCGAGTGTGAAGCTGCCCTGAAACCTGTGAAAGTAGAGGGAATAATCCTAAAATGCATTTCCAGAATAAGTTTCAGCTCTGTTTCCCTGATGCTTCAAACTTTCATTTTCCCTCTCTCTTCCACTGCATTATAACCTCTGGAAATAAACCAGCGTAGATACATTCTTCCTCCTCAGCAATAAGTCAGCCCTGTCTGTTCTGCTTCACTGCTTAGATGTTTGCTTTTAAGAAGGACCAAAGTACTTTCTTTGGCAGGAGATGAGGACTGCAGGTTCTGGAAAAGCAGGAAAGATATTCAGTCTCTGAGATGGTCTCAGTTTTTACTTTAATCACCACGCTGATGGATGTTTCTTGCTTTGGCCTGTGGAGCACAGATTCATTTAGTACGTGCATAATGTTGGAAACATGGGAAGAAGGCTAACCAGAGAACCTCAGAACTCTTGAAAAGGAGTGGAGCCTTTTGTATAGAGACTGAGAGTTGTTTATTTGTGACTGGTATTTTAACATACATAAATAAATCATTTGTATTCCGTCATTCTAAGGATTGAATCAAAGCTCTGTTGGTCTGTCAGCTGGAATTACTACTTGCTTTGATTTTTAAATGAGCACTTGAGGTGTCTGGTCTCTGACTTTCACTGCTATTCCTTTGTCCAGCTGCATGCAACCAGTTCCGTAATTAACTTCAGATGTAAAGCTTTAAGTCCTCTCTCATTTCCTTTCCCAATTCTGATGCTTTTCTCTTTTTCTCTGCTTGCTGTTCTTGGTTTCCTGCGGCAGCCTTCTGAGTACAGTTGCTACCTTGGGTCAGGATCTCGGGCATCCTCAAGAGCCAGCTCTGCTCGGGCCAGTCCAGTGGTGAGCTCCTCTATTTTTCTTTGTCACTAAAGTGTTTCATTTCTCTGTTCTTCAGGGTCTTTTTTTTATACAGGAAGTTCAGTCTCTTGTGAGATAGTTACTTACGGTATTAATTGGACCTGCTGGGCAATCCTTAAGACAAAGAAGGGGTAAACCAGATGAAGAGTTAGAAAACCAAAGTGATTTCTATGCAGATAAACATGTTTTTACAGCAGAAAGTACACTTTGGACTCATGTGACTGCTGTTTCTTTTTTTTCTAAGTTGGGCATAAAACACCTCAGCAAAGGTATTGTGAAAAGTCTGTGGTGTTGATGCTAGTGCCACATCTCCTTTGGCTGTTAAAATGGGGAAACCCTAAATCTTATTGCAGCATTCAAGTAGTTCAGTTTCTCTATGCTGAGCAGTGTTTTCGTGAAGTCTTGCTTCAGGGCTGCCCAGAGATTGGATTTGAACATATTTGTTGGCCTGTAGATTACTAGGCCTTGTAGAGCCTTTAGCATGGTGGAGTGCTAGCAGGATTATGTGTACCTGACATGTCGAGCATCATGAACTAAGGGGTTGTACCTAAAGAAGACTTGTCCAACCTCTTGTGACTTTTCCCCCCTGCTTTTTACCAGATAGGAAGTAATAGTATTCCATTTGTTCAGTGGTATTGGATACCAATACACTGATCTTGGCTTTCATTATTTGTGTTTTGCATGCAGTCTGCGTCACTGGTGCCACGTGCTTACAGTAGCCACAAAATGCAGCTTGCCCTTCCTTGGGAGCTAGAGGGGATTTCCTGGTTTTTAGCTCTCTGCTTACACTTGGGACTGTTTGCATGCAAGTGGCTTGAGATGGTTTGCTGCTGGAGAGGAGCTGGGCGGAAGCTGTTCTGCAGGGAGACAACAGGCACTTTTGTTTGTTTCCCTGTTATTTCCCTGGCCTTGAAGACGAGCTGAGAGTTAATGCCATAGTGGGTCTAAAAGGCACCACTGCAGGAACTTTGCTTCTAATGCAAGATAGTAGAAGCCTTGTTAATGGTGTGGCGTTGCTCTTTAAAGCTCTAAATCCTCTATGGGATCAAGGCAGCAGCACCCTGTGATTTCCCATTCTCCCTCCTTTTTCTTTTTTTTGTGTATTAAACAGAGTGCCTTTTCATGTAACTCACAGTAAGGAGTCACCTTGCCTTTTACTAACAGAGGTTTCAAGGTGTTTTGATACATTTTCAGTTGTGCACTTGTTCTTGGCAATAAGGATGCTGAAATAGAGCCCTGTCTTCTCAGTGGGCTTAGCAGTATATTACTTCCACTCCTACAGTTATGAGATGTCACCTGCTTGGACTTCCTAGAGGAAGAATAAACATCTCCTTGAATAATGGTGATAACTTATGAGAGTAAAAAAAGTGGCTGTTCTTGTCTATATCAGTAGTCTACATTAAAGCTGTTTTAATATTGCTAACCCCCAAAACTGAATCATGGAATCATCAAACTGCTTGCATTGGAAGGGACCTTAAAGCTCATCCAGTTCCAACCCCTGCCATGGGCAGGGACACCTTCCACTAGAGCAGGTTGCTCCAAGCCCCTGTGTCCAACCTGGCCTTGAACACTGCCAGGGATGGGGCAGCCACAGCTTCTCTGGGCACCCTGTGCCAGTGCCTCAGCACCCTCACAGGGAAGAGCTTCTACCTAAGAGCTCATCTCGGTCTCCCCTGTTCTAGCAGGTTAAAGCCATTCCCCTTGTCCTGTCCCTACAGGCCCTCTCCGGGTTTCCCATAGCCCTTTTAGGCACTGGAGCTGCTCTGAGGTCTCCCCTTCAGGAGCCTTCTCTTCTCCAGGCTGACCCAGCCCACCTCTCTCAGCCTGGCTCCAGAGCAGAGCCGCTCCAGCCCTCACAGCATCTCCATGGCCTCCTCTGGCCTTGCTCCAACAGCTCCACATCCCTCTTGTGTTGTTGCCCCAGTGCTGGCTCAGGACTGCAGGGTGGTCTCCCCAGAGCACAGCAGAGGGGGAGAATCCCCTCCCTTGACCTGCTGCTCACACTCTGGGGTGCAGCCCAGGATATGGTGAGCTTCCTGCCTTAATGTATCAAGGCATATGCTTTCTTAATTCTGCTTTATGTACCTTCTGACATTAACCCACATAAAGATTTGATTGCAAGTTTACATTTTAAATTGCTGGTGGAGTAGAATGGAAAGGGGAATATTTGTTGGGTTGAAAAGCTGAGTTTCCCGCATGCTTACACCTCCTGAGAGCGTGACAGTTTACAAAATCCATGTACTGTAATCATGAGTGCTTAACACTGAAGTTAAATAGGATTTTCTTACGATTATGGACAGTATTAGGCAGAAAATCAAAACTGAACTCTCGCCAAGAGTGATTATAATGAAAAATCCTATATTAAGAGTAGAGAATTATTCAGTGTAACTTGCTAAATTTAAGCATACATTATCTTGTCCCTGCAGCCCTTAAATTTTGTCTCTTTTTTTTCCCCCTTCTGCCAGTGTTCATTAAACAGTGAGCAGAAAGTGACAGTAGTTTGCCTGCTGTACATAGCTTTGTGAGGCTGTGTTCCCAAAAGCCAGGAAGATACATAAACACAGTATGTGAATATCTATTGGTCTTTGTATTTTCAAGAATTCACTATATCTGCATGAAGTTTGTTGTTTGATTATTTGTCTTTAACATTTTCCCAGTTATCTCCCCTAGTAATTACTGTCTGCCCTCCTTTCAGTTACTGCAGATACGCAAATGTGTGGTTTAATGTTAAAGTGTTACACTCCATGTCTTAACAGAGCAACCATCAGGCCCATCTGTACAGGCGGAGGTAAATCTTGGGCCTGGCATGTTTAGGTTGAGAATGGGCTTTTTAATACAAATTGCTGTATTTTTTCTTACTTTAATAAACTACTAGTGAAAAGTATTTATACATTTCAAATAGACTCAGAATGTAGTAGTATTTATCTGAAGACTTTCTGAACAAAACAGCTTTTTCCATTTGAAGAAGTTGATCATGTTCTCATGAGAAATAAAAAGGGAGCCAGTTAACAGAGCTCTCACAGAAGCATTTATCAGCGTGCTCAAGCTTTGCCTTCTTTCCCCTACACTTATATTACTTATGGTAGGCTTGTAGCCTAGCCCATCCCCTGACAGTGTGGATGTGCTTTCAGCCCCCTCCAGGGTAAGGCTCTGCTGGAGCAAAGAGACTGATAAGTTTGTTTGAGCAATGACGTTTGGCATAGCACTCATTCCTGAGCAAGGATACTGCTGACAAATCCACTTTAGATCTGACAAATTTCAGCAGTGTTTTCTCCCTGCTGCATATTGAAGGCTTATTGCTAATAGCTAGTGTTATGGTGGCTCTCACTGGAAAAACACACAGGAACTCTGTGTTACTGCCTGTCCCGGCCCAGCCGATCAGCCTGGTAAGATGGGGAGTGCAGGAGGGGTTATGTTGACTGCAGTGCTTTTACTTCTTTTTCTTTAAATTCTAGTTTTTGTAGATATCATCCTGTGTCGGTGCTACGGATTGTAAGAATTTTTCTTCATGTGGGACATATTTCCATTTCAAACTGTGCTGTATTACTGTAAGAGCAGGAAATGATCTTAATTTGATTTCTCGCCCCAAAAAATCCCCTTGCTTTTATGAGGAAGATTGATCTAAGTGCAAGACCTCAGATGGAGCTGAGTAGCGACAGCCACAAACCCTGAAGTTGTTCCTATGCCTGAGGGTGGTATGTGGCACTACTAAACTGCAAGTGTTTAGGATTTCCCTTCTTTAACCTTGTAAAGGAGGCTGGAAATTGTGCCTCAGTCCTGATTCTTCTTAAATCTTTACTAGCAGCTGGAGCTTAACGCTTAACTCCCTCCAGGGCCTCTGGTCTCTCCAGTAGGCATTTGAGACTCTTGTTGGATGCACTGTGCTAGTGCTGGTGCGTCTCTGATTTTGGCCTCAGTACTCACTGGTGGCAAAGAGTTTCAAGGGTTAAACTGCGAGCTGACTGCAAAGTAGAGATAAACACTTTTCCAAACATTACATTCTTGCCTGTGAAAAATAGGCAGTAGATCCAGATAGAGACTTGTGGGGTGGTTTGGTCATGTGGATTCCGGCAGCACTACTCCTCTGACGTTGCTGACATTTCTTTGTAATGTAGCTCTGGATTTCTTCTGAAATCGTTGTCAGAAGGGGCTGGACTCTGATCCTGTTGTACTTACTTTGCAGAGAACAGCCTATTCCCCTTGCGAAAACAAAGGTGTGCGTGCTGGAGTTCCCTGGAAAATCACTTAATGTTCCTGCTTTTTTTATGCGCTAAAATACAAAATACACAAGTTGTTGGTGAAGAGGAAGGTATCCTATTTACTGCAAGGGTGGTGAGGTGAGGCGCTGGCACAGGGTGCCCAAGGAAGCTGTGGCTGCCCCATCCCTGGCAGTGTTCAAGGCCAGGTTGGACACAGGGGCTTGGAGCAACCTGCTTTAGTGGCAGGTGACCCTGCCCGTGGCAGGGGTTGGGACTGGATGAGCTTTAATGTCCCTTCCAGCGCAAACCAGTTTGGGATTCTGTGATTCTGTCTCTAGGGACAGACCATATAACTTTGTGGAAATGGAAACTGTGTAATGTTCTATGAATCTAGTATCATTAGGTGAATTCCTCTTTATATGCCCTCTTCCAGCAAGTATTCTGTTAGTCCTTTATATCTGCATGCAGAGAATTTGCCAACCCAGGGTATTTGTATAAAGTGCTGTGCTGAATACCGTACTGTGAAGGTGGAGAGTTTGTTTTCGGTCTGTTTAATCATGATAGTATTCTTTACTGAATGATAATACAGCAGGTAAGTATTTGGGGCAAGAATTTTGTATAGCTTCAAATAAGCCTCTTTTTTCCTGACGCTTGATTTCTTGCTGGGTCAAATGCCAAAGGGCTTGTTGGGAACAGGGTGAAAGCTGAAAACCTTGGGGTTCCCTCTGGTGGCTGACTGCTGTTGGGAAGCGCCATTTATCTTTCTAAAGGAACGATAGATACAGTGAATACAGTAATTGAAAGATGAGTAGAATGAAAACTAGATAAAATATTAATCTAAAATAGATTAATAGACCTCTGCCTTTCTACAAGACACTCTTTATAGATCTTGGTGTATCACTGCCACATAACTGTGAAATTTAATGCTGCCTTTTTTCAGGTGGACTTTTTGTTCAGGAAAGTGTTGTGTAGCAGGAGGAAGCATCTTTGTAATGAAAGGAGGGTGTGTTAGAATGAGGAACTGGCTTTTTTCAAAACACACTAGATTTTTAGATGTTAATATTTCAATCAATTGGCAGTGGTAATTACTGCCTTTGATGAGGAAACCCTCAAGAGTGCCGTTTATGGCACCAAACGGATGTGTGTATGAGAGCATCGCTCTCGTACAAAGTGATTTGGTTTTATTCCTTTTTTTTTTTAAGCCACCCCAACTTCAGAAGTTACTTGATAGCTTTAATTATTAACTATTATACCCCCTTAGAGAGTTATTAAAGATCGTTTTGCAATGGATGCATAGCAAGCTTCACAGGTGTGGTTGTGAGTGCTCTGAGTAGAGCTGTATGCTTATCCCGCGCCACAGTCTTCAGCGTTTTCCCCTTCAGAAGTGGAAGCTTTTATTTGACTGCTAATGCATCATTAAAACAATATCAATATTTGTTCCCTTCTTTATCTTAGTAAAAACTGAGATTGCACTTCCTCCCCCTCCCCCCCCCCCCCCAAGTAATAGAGGACATTCTGCAAATGTCTTAAGGAAAAGAGTATCTTGAGTTGTGTCCTGAACCCATATGGTAGATTTTAGTCTGGTCTAACTCCTGGCTACATTTCTGGGGGTAGATTTGTGTAGATACACTAATCTTTGGTAAGGTGACAATATTTACACTGTCTTGATAAACAACAACATAGTGTTTGGCCAGGCTTAGAAGGCTGCCAAATCCACACCTTGCTTGGAGTTGTCTGGCATGAAAATAGAGGCTCTTTGCAAAAGGCAGTCCATCTTGTTTGTTGGGTCTGAACTGAACTAACTGCGTTCATTAGTGACCTTCTCTTACTGCAAATTCAGATTCCTCCCTCTCCCCCAGTACTTTGTCTCTTCAGGGTCTTCATGAAGTTTATAATCTAGTGCTTTAAGTCTGGCTTTTACTTCAAAGCTTAAGTCTTAAATTTCCTTAATGCTAATCATAGGGGATTTATGATGCATGCTGTCAATGTAAAAAGCTGATTTGGAATAGATACCTCTTAGTTCTGTTTTTTTTTTACCATAGGGTACCACTGGTAATAATAAGAAAAATGAGTGGGATCATCCACACATTATTCTGTATAATTCAAAGGAAAAAAACAACCCTGTGCCAAACGTGGACTGATTGGAAAGAGCTGTAGTTTCAGAGTGTGTTTTCAGTGACGCTAACGCTCAACCTCTGTATCCCCTGCCTTCCACTGAACTGGATCTCTCCTGATTTTTTCCCTCAGTCATTTCAGAAACACTTCTCCCATTGGCTTTCAGGCTCTTGATCTGGGGAAGCCAGAAGTTTTCACAGAATCTTTTGGGAAACCATCTTGGCTGTGGTGCTGAATGTTCCCAGAGGAGGTTGACGTGTTCTGGACTTCATGAGTTCTGCTGAGCCTTTAATTTCACTCAGACCCTTTTACACTCACTTCCACTTTAGATGGAAATACTTACAGAAAGATTCTGCTGTGAATCTCTCCTGCTTTGGGGAACTTGTATATTTGTTTTGTTTCAGAGCATGAAGAAGTGGATAGGATGGGTTCCCATCAAGGAATAAACCAAATCTTTTCAGGGTGTATGTGGGCTTTACTTTGTGACTCTCTTTTGAGCATCTGTGGTGTCAATATTGATGATAATTTTCTGTACTCTGAAGTGCTACTACTTCAGAGGTAGCCCTTTTTCAGGTAAGGTCCATAAATAACGTAACTTCAAGAAGCTATCTTGGTCTGGAAAAGTATTGATCTCTCGGTTGAAAAACTTAACCTCTCTACTGAAGTAAGTTGCTATTTGGGGATCATTTGAGGCATATCTTTAAACTGACCCAAAGTAAATAAGATGTGTCTGCATACATCAGCACGACAGTTGCATACAGCTGGGTTTATGTCCAGGGTAAGACATCTGGGGCTTTGAGTTCAAGCCCATTGTATTCTTGCTTTGTTAACTCATAGATCACATGCCATCTTCATGTTTGAAACGTTGTCATGTAGAACATGGGAAAAAAATATTCTTCTGTCTTATTTAATAGACCAAGTAGTTCCTATCAGTAAGTATATTCCACTTCATTACATGGGGTTTTGAAACTTGAGATGAATTGTCCAGTCAGGACACAGCTGTTCTGAGTGAGCTGGCTGCTTTTTAGGTGCCTAGAAATTGCTAAAGAAGAGTCTTTCACAGGTTTAAGAATTCCCTTTCTGACATCTTACTGCCTTTACTTGTCCTTTTTTGATTACATTAATAAATCCTTCTTAATCTTTGTTTTACAGATTGAGGAAAGGCCAGAAAAAGACTTTGAGAAGGTAAGAAGAATCTTATGAATTATTCTGACAATAGTGCTTTCTTCACATTCTTTATGGTAGATAGAAGTCACATTAAGTGTACAGAAATCTTCTATAAAATCCATTGTGGGGCATAAACTTAAATTCATAGAATCCCAGCCTGGTTTGGGGTGAAGGGAACTTAAAGCTCATCCAGTTCCAGCTCCCTGCCACGGGCAGGGACACCTTCCACTAGAGCAGGTTGCTCCAAGGCCCTGTGTCCAACCTGGCCTTGAACACTGCCAGGGATGGGGCAGCCACAGCTTCTCTGGGCACTCTGTGCCAGTGCCTCACAGGGAAGAGCTGCTTCCTAGTATCTAATCTAAATCTCGTCTCCATCAGCTTAAAGCCATTCCCCCTTATCCTGTCACTGCATGCCCTCATAAAACATACCTCTTCAGCTTTCTTGTAGGCCCCCTTAAGCTATTGAAAGGAGTTATTGGAACCTTCTTTTATTACATTTTTGAAGGTGAACTTTTCAACCACTGGTCATTCAGATGTTAAGTAGTTGCCCTTTCAGCTAGCCTGAAATTGCTTTAGGCCAAGTCATATGAATACTGTGTTTGTTTAGTACATTTTAATTACAGTATTATGTAACAAGAACTAATTAATAATAAAAGAGGAGAATACTGCAGTGGCTTAATGCAGAACCCTCAGTACAGTAAAACAGTTAATGTGGCTACTGCTGCAGAGTAGATAAGCATCCATCAATGGAGAGGAGCTACAAAGTGTATTATTAAAAGTTTTGAAAGTATCTGGTAAGATGGTCCTAGCCCCTAAAGGCTTTCTATTGAATTAAGTATTAATAGCTGTAAGCTAATTCATGCATACTCCTATTACAGTAGTGTTTAAATACATCTGCTCTGTCTTTTCTCCTTAGTTTCCCTTGTTAAATCTCGATCAAACCTTCACAATTTAGAAGTGCAAGGGTTGTAACATGTATATTCAATCAACCAAACAAGCTACAAATGCACAATGTATCTAGAAAAGAAAAAGTTCTAACCATTTTAAACTGTGTATGATTATAGGGAGCACGTACTGTCTCAAGTTTATCAGCAGCTACCTTAGCTTCTCTGGGTGGGACTTCTTCACGAAGAGGCAGTGGGGATACATCCATCTCCGCTGATACAGAGGCATCTATTAGAGAGATAAAGGTGAGAAATACTTCAAACCAGAATAAAGTATGAAATATCCTTTAGACTTCCTTTCAGGAAAGAAACTGGCTTGTCCTCCCCTCCTGTCAATTCTGCCAAAGTGAATTGTATGCTGTAAATGAAAAATGAATAGCTTTGCTAGAGACATGCTGCTGGGAGCTCGTGTGTATTGCAGGAATATTTGGGTGTATGATAGCAGAACAGACTGATCATAACAGACACATCTCGTCTTAAGCTAATGAAATAGGAAGTGGACTCAGTAGAGCACAATAATAGGAGATTGAAATGAGGAAAGAAGCACTGCACTTGCTGGATGCTAATTTAGGGAGGGGGCTGTATTTCTGTAATCTTATTTATGATTCCGTGAGGTTGGACACATTAGCAAATAGTGACACAATCCAGTGTCCATATCATTGAGTGCTAGTCTGGGTAGTCCATAGCTAAATCCTTCTTGGAATCTGTTTTTTTCTTAATGTTTCCTTCTGAAGACTGTTTTAAAATGGAGGATCTGTATTCTGTTAACTTTCATGCATCTGACTTAAAACTGTGCTGAAACTACAGCCAGTTAAGACATATGGATTTGTATTAGGACCTCAGATTAGAAGCAGGTCTGTCCCAGTTTCATCACTGTAAAGCAGCTGAAAGATGGTAATTTGCTTGTGATCAAGGACAAAAGAGGAGAGAGAGTGGAAAATAAAGTTTTGAACACTTGCTTTTCCCTGTTGGCTGCACTTCTGATGGTTGTGGCATCATTCACCTGTCTCACCATTTCTCTCAGGATATCTATGAGTTAAAGAACCAGATTCAGGATGTAGAAGGCAAATACATGCAGGGACTGAAAGAAATGAAGGTACTGGTTTATTGCAGCCTGGAGTGTGATCATTAACACTAGCTAAACATGCAGAGAGTCCATGTGGGACCTAGAACTGACCTTGCATGCTGTGCTTGCTTCTGGGAGGGCTTGTAACTTGTGTGAAAAGCATTTCATGAACTGGAAAAATACGTGTTCTGATCTTGAGTGATTGTGGTGAAAAATGCTTCCATCTGTTAACTGAAAGGCTACTGATTACTGTTGCATGTTGTGTTTGCTGTTTGGAAATGTAATCATTTTGCTATCAAATTAAAATTACTAGGGGTTTTATTTATACATATATATATATATATATAGTTTTCTAATCCAGGAAACCTCCCAACACTGGAAATGAGCTAGAACTCATGTCATACAGTTCTATGAAAAATGGGAGTTTAAAAGCTTCTATGGTTTTGCTTTGATAAGGTCCAGCATAACTTTGGAAAGTTGGAAACCTGTTCCAGTGTCTCACAGGGAAGAACTTTTTCCTAGTATCTAATTTAACCTGTCAGCTTAAACCCATTCCCCCTTGTCCTGTCACTGCATGCCCTTGTAAAAAGTCCCTCTTCAAATCTAGTGTAGGCCCTTTTAGAGTCACTTTCAGTATGTTCCTTTTCAATTCATGTCTCTTAGACTCTGTTTGAGGTGCAGATGCTAAGAAAACAAAACATAGCGTGCTGAAAGAGTGGTGCAGCAACTACTTCAGCTTCTTACTTGCATATATTTCCCTTCCAGTTACTTTCTGAGGTTTGATCCTAACACTTGTTTCCAAATCCTGGTGACTTTCCTGTGCTTGGTATTTCTCATCCTTGGTCTGGAAAGTGCACCAAAGCACAGTTTGTGTTTGGAACTGTACAAATTCACATCCTTAAAGACAAATCATCTTGCTTCTCAAAGCAAAAGTAAACTAAACTGATTCAGACTTTCAGGTGATTTTTGCTGTTATTTCAATACTGTAATCCCCAGTTCTGTTTATCAAATGAAATAGGAAGTATATGCAACTCGCCTGTGCTTTAGATGCAATTACTAGGATTATTTAAGTTGCAAGAGAAATTGCTTTACCTGTAAACTAAAATCTTGACATTTGTGCCCTCCTTGTTTGTGTATTTGCACTGTTTTATGTAACTCTTTCATTTCTGTATTAAAATTAAATAGTGCAAAGTTTGACTGCATGAACACAGAGAATTATCCTGATCTTTATTTTGCCATCATTTATTGTTACAAATATCCCGGTATCTTATATTCAGGTCATGTTGGTAGGAGTAGTTTTCACGATACTGGGAATTGTATCTTGCGGAATGAATTTGTAAGGAAGGGATGAGATCCAGAAAACCTAATGAAAAATGATACATCAGGTCATAGAAGCCGAAGCTTTTTCACCATGAATTCTGAGTCAGTATATTTAGTTGTTCCCACACTTCCAGGATCCCTGCAGTTTGTGTGAAGTGGCTGTCAAACTGCCTGTTTAAGGCCTAAGGTCATCTTAAAATGATCTTAGATCAAGCCCAGTTTACCTTTAAGAAAACCCAACCAATAGTCCTGCATGTCATCTTCAGCAGCTGCTTTGAGCTGCCAACGTGCAGGGGCAGGGGAGGAGGGGAAGGAAGAAAACTGAGAAGGCAGAAGCTGAAGCAGCAGAGAACAGGAAGCATTTTATTTGTCCTGAGGTAAGGTTCCTTGCTTATAAACAGAAGCCTGGTGGGAACAGGGGAGGTTATCCTCACCTTGGGGCAGTTGGTAAGCATCTCTAGCACATGATTACACTGGTTTCCCTGGGAGTACTGAGCATACTTGTGATTTAGCATTTAATGTTCTCGTTGAAGGTCTTGGCTGGCAGAGGATCCTTTATAGCTCGCTGTGGTTGCTTATTCTTTGCAGGACTCTCTAGCCGAAGTGGAAGAGAAATATAAGAAGGCTATGGTGTCAAATGCTCAACTAGACAATGAAAAAACAAATTTCATGTACCAAGTAGATACCTTGAAAGATGCGCTCTTAGAGTTAGAAGAACAGCTGGCAGAGTCCAGGCGGCAATATGAAGAAAAAAGTAAAGTATGTATAATAGCAGTGACATGTTATGCAATGGGGAGGTCTTGTGAGGGGGGCAGAGTCCTTTGGGAGGAGGCAACCAAAATGCTATTTAAGATTTTAACTAAGTTACTGTTCTAGTTACTGTTAAAGCAAGTGGAATAGCAGCTTGTGATGTGCTTGTGAGGGTTTGTTCACAGTGACTTCTGGAGCATTTTTACATACAAAGGTCTCTTCAGAAGGCTTGTGAGAGAGTTCTGTACAATTGAGTGTTCAGTTCAGTCTAATGTTAATTCAGCATCTGATAGCCAGTGAGTTGTGTTAAATAATAAAGCTGGGGCTTGTGTTGGCTTTTCAGAACTGGCTTTTTAGCTTGGGGCATTTAACTGTAGTGCACTTCAAAAAACACAGTTCCTGGGAGGTAAGCGTGGTGCAAGGGGTTTGGTTGGTTGTTTTTTTGTGGTGCTTCATTATTTTGTTGTTTCATTGGGGGGGCGGGGGGATTGGTGGTGCTTTTTATGCAGGTTGTTTGGGGGGATTTTTTGGTGATGGGAGTTTTTTGTTTGGTTGTTTTTTTTCTTGACCAGTGTCTTGACTAGTGTCTAGCTAACTTTCACTACATGGCTATGTGGAAGGGTTAAATTCCCATCCATTCATCTGTGAAGTCTGTAGGATTTGAGATGCTCATTGTCAGCCTGCTGCTCAACTTACAAAACTGGCTAAATGGTGTCTGCCACTTCTCTATTTGTTGGAATAATAGTTTCTTAGAAAAAGCACAAATGAGCCTGTACAAAAAATTGTACTTTTAGGGGATTGTGATTAGAGGAATATTCAAGAATTGCACAGCAATAAGCATTTTCTTTGTGTTTGGGCTTATTTTCTCTTTTTTTTTTCTCATGGGATGCTATTTTTGATCAATAAAAATCTCATTATTATTTCATTATAGGAATTTGAGAGGGAGAAGCATGCTCATAGCATATTGCAATTTCAGTTCATGGAAATCAAAGAGGCTTTGAAGCAAAGAGAAGAAATGCTTGCAGTAAGTAGCCTTTTTGCTTTAATGGTTCCTTTGATTGGTACGTTCCCAGTTAGCCATAGGAGTGTGGAACGTGAGGCACATAGAATTTTATTCCCTACTCAAGTTTCTCACCTGAAGAAACATTAGTGTTTCAGTCCGAACAGCTTGGGAGCTGGCTAATGGGAATAGCACTTTCCTAAATATTAGCTGAAGTCGGACTTCTTTTCTTGCTTTGTCCTGAAATAAGGTGTTTGTGGAGATGCAGAGGAAACTGGTGGAGCAGTCTTAATTGTTTCAAGTCAACTCGTGACTTGTAAGACTGTCTTCAGGAGCATAGGTTTAGTTCAAATGTCAGAAACAGTACATATGTAGATAGCCTTTAGCACCTGACTTGTTTCATTCTTTGGCATCACTGCAATCTTGACCTTCTTTGTTAACCTGTTATCTGCTTTCTGTCTTCTTGTTTTGCTCCTGTCTCTCAGGAAATCCAGCAGCTGCAACAGAAACAACAGAGCTATGTCAGGGAAATTTCTGATCTTCAGGAGACAATAGAGTGGAAAGACAAAAAAATAGGGGTAGGCCTGTCATCTCCTGCAATGTTCAGAGTGGTCCTGTTGTTCGCCAGCTGACCCTGCTTTTGCAAAACCTCATGAACATAATCCTCCTTAGTGACTTTGCTTTGTGTGGCTGTCTTACTGTCTTACCAATAAACTAGCAAATAGGAAATTTTTTCTTTGGCAAGTATCATGAAATCCAATAAAAATTTAGCAGCTGGTCTGATTTCAAAACCTGGGGTCATTTATTTGCTGTGGTGCACCATTTGTATTTGCCATATTGAGAATAGAGCTGCTATTTATAATGCAGTTCCATCAGCACTGAATTTTTCCTTATTCAGATTTAATCTGCAGACTGAGCAGAAACAGAAGTAGTATAGAGCTATTTATGGGCTACTGGGATGAAAGTCTTTAAACCTCTCTTGCTTCTCATCCCTTCCCACAGCCCCCTGTCAAAGGCAAATGAAAATCCACTCTGAAAGAAAAGCTTGGATTTCTTTTTTAACAATGAGCCAAAAGACTTTTTGAATACTTTTTGAAGGAAAAAAGAAATCTGGGAAGTTGCCTGTTGTGATACTTGCAACATCCAACAACTTGTAGCAACTTGAAACTCCAAGCTGTGTAATTTTTGTTGCCGTTCTACTAGTACTTCCATAGGAATATTGGGAGGGGGGGTGTCAGTAGCAAAATACATGTTTGCACGTGGTACATCCGAGTCTAATGATGACTTAATGGCAGCTTTCAAATTAATTGAAATGTACTGCACCAGATGGAACAACTGTGGAATAAAAAGGCTGGTAAAATCTGCTGGCCCTGCTTTCAAGCTATTCTGTTAACACATGGGAATGGCACTGTGTCTTCAATGGGCACGATGAAGTAATATAGGTATGAATTAACTTGTCTAGCAGATATGAGTGGATCCTTATTTGAAGGATCTCTAAGGAAGGATTAGGCTCAAAATGTCTTCAGTAGGAATTCCTGGTTATTGAATAAGCTGTGCCTTTCTTGGATTTGAAGCTCATCTGTGTGTATGTAAACTTGGTCCTTTAACATGTAAACTTTACCTTTTTCATATGTGCCACTTCCATCAAGCTCTGAATATCTTAAATCTGCTCATTCCTGTTTACACTTGCTTTTCATGGTCTTTACTTCTCTCCCTTCCTTTCTTTGCATCTCCTCGCCCTCTGTCTGTGTTGGGAACTCAGGCGTTAGAGAGGCAGAAAGATTTCTTTGATTCCATAAGGAGTGAGCGGGATGACCTTAGAGATGAAGTGGTTGTGCTGAAGGAGCAACTGAAGGTATGCAAGAGGAGTGAAAGAGATTTCTATTCAGCAGCTGACCTTTCCCTCCTGTACATTTGTGCAGAAAATTTGAATCCAGCTCGGCAGCAAGAACTCTTATTTTCCATGTTGCCTATAATTTGCCATTTCAGGAATTTTCTACATAAAGTCCATCCCCCTAATATAGACTGTGAACTCGTAGTATAGACTGTAGTATTAAGTAGTTGCTTTTGTAGAAGATGCTTCTTTGAGGAACATTTTCTGCAGCAAGTGTATGGTTAAAGAAGCAGAGAGCTGGGATCACATGCTTCTTTCATACTGGCCAAACTGAAAATTCTCATATTCTGTGCTCTTTTCTGACTTCCAACCATGTTTAGTGGAACCATTGAAGCAATTGTTTATTCAGAATATCAAGGACAAGAACACTTGAACAGTCCCACCCTTTCTGAGCAGCAGACTCTAAAGCATTGCTTTTACTTCTCTACAGAAACATGGAATAATCCCAAATTCTGATGTAGCCACCAATGGGGAGACATCAGACATTCTTGATAATGAAGGACACTTGGATTCTTCCAAAACTATTCCAGGCACAACTCAGGCATTAAAGACTGGAGGGGATGGGATGTTAGGTAAGTCCTGTATCTTTTCATACCTTTCTGTCCATTCATTCATCTTTGCTTGGAGTTTGGGCATTTGTTATTGGGACAATTAACACATCACGCAGCATGCTACATTTAAGATCACTTACTGTGCATTTTTCTGCATGATTTTCATGAATCGCTTCCAACTATTTGTGCAGTTTCCTGCAAAGGCAGACTTAATTTTCCATTCAGGGTGATAAAGGATGAGAATACAAATATTTCATTACAGATAAATAGCAATCATTCAGATTCCTATTTAAAGCCTGAATTTGAATAGTGCCACAGAGCAATCCGACTGCTGTTCAGTAGTTTTGAGCACATAAGTTAAAGCATCAGGAAAACAAGAAAAGAATTAGTTTCCTTTAAAAAACTTGTTTGTTGATTCATTTATATACCTGAGAACTGTGGCTGCTGAACAACCATGCTGGGCACTATTAAAACACGTATGAATTCTTTGTTCTTGGTGTCCCATACTATTGAGCAGTTAATATTAATGCTTCCACATTTTTTCTTGTTATGTTAATGCTGTTAAATTCAAAGAGTATAACTGAGGTGGATAGCATTAAGAAGAAATCTGGTTGGCAAAACCATTCTTACACTGTGGTGATGAATGGCCATTCCAAGAACTATTATATTAGTGTAAGGAAAGGAAATAGTAATTACTTGTTGTTGTTCTAAATGAACATACGAATAAAGAGCAACAGGCAGTCAATGTTGCTTTGAGCTTTTGGCTGCTTTTTCCTCAGTCAGTTTTTGTGTGCAAACAGCATGGAACACAAAAACCAAGGTAAGGGTATATTTTTGAGCGTAATATGTTCTCTCTCTCTGTCTCTCTGTCTCTCTCTCTTTATTCTGGGTTGGTTGTGTTTTTGAGGTTTTTTGTGACCCAAAAGCTAACTGCTGAAACCACAAACACTGTTGTTTTAGTACCTGTTGCTTCTAAATTACAAGTTTAAGGAAAACTGTTTAAAAACCCTCCCCAGACCCACAGAAGTCCCTATGCATTTGGGTGGATCAAGTGTCTGTAAAGGGCACTAAGTATACCTGAGCTTTGGTAATACTAAATAGCTGAACCGTTTGCTTGCCAATCAGATTTTGTGTTCAGTGTTTATCATATAGACTGATCATGATGCCCATTCATGACTCTTAGAAACAAAATATTTCTGAATAACCCTTCATAATAACATCAGACACGCACTCCTGCACACATAAGGTGGTGTCAGGATTAAAGCTGTAAAGGTTATTGATGAAGGAAAAGTAATCTTTCCTGTAGTGTTACCTCTGCAGGTATTACCGCTCAATTGCACTGCTTGAAACAGTTGTTCTCAGCTACAGAAGCTGCAGTTCACACAGCCAAGAGCATAAATCTTTGACTTTACAAACACACAAGTCAGCACTGAAGGCTTCTTGCTTTGAGAGGGTGGTGGTGAATTTCACTGATCAAAAACCTGAACTCTGACTAATTCAGTCACTGCTTTGCCTCACGTAATTGGCAAAAGCTGATCTTTCATTAACCTATTCTTTGATTCATTCTCTTTCGGGATTAAATGGGGAGGTAAGTGCTGTGGTGTGGTCCCTTCAACTTTCTCAATGGTCTTTTAGGCAAAGCCAGTGAAGTGGACATGAAAAATGAGATTTTGGAGGATATGGGGAAAAGAGAAATCTTGCAGAATACTGAGCATGAGGAACACAAAGAGGAGTCTGAGGAGCAGGAATTGCATGCTGATGAAAATGCAAAGGCACAAAAAATGGTTGAAGAACGTGATGCCCTGTCAGCAGTGACGTTACCAGATAGCGGGTTTACAGTACAAATTCAAAGCCTTACAGAACACGTATCAGGGAGTACTTCTTCAAATGATGACAGTGGTGCAGATGATTTGAGAAAGGTGGCAGAGTCTGCAGGCACAGCAGTCCAGCAGCCTGTCAGTACAGAGGCTGAACACTGTGACTTAAATGCAATGTCAGATCAGAACTTGGAGGTGGGCTCTCTCCAAGGTCATCAGATGTTTGACACTCCTCAGGAAATGCATAGTGACTTAGGCACAGAGCCTGAACTGGAAAAAGCTGCACCCCAACAGCAAGAACAAGAGGATCTTGAAAGTAGCCATGTCCTGAGTGATAATGAAATGGATCAAGAGGCCAACATCACAAGCGAGAGCTGTGTGTTAGCTTCTAACCAGGCAGGGCTCCCAGAGATTACAGCAGCAGGCTTAGTTAGCGAAGAGGTGAAAGTGGAGAGCCACACCGAGACACTCCAGCACTCAGAAGAAAGTGCCAAAAACCAGGTTACAAGTGTCTTGGAGGAAAAGTTTGTTGAAGGCCAAGACAGTACCAGTGGAGGAGCTGGAGAAACAGGTGATAGAGCTGAACAAGAAAATGAGGTTGGGAACACAGTTCAGGGTCAGTCGATGGAAACAGAGCCTGTGGGTTTGGAGGGGATGGAGGCATGCGGAAGTGGTGTCCCAGCAGCTGAAATTGAAGAGGAAGGCGGAGGCCATCAGGCATTCATTCAGCCAGTTTCTGCAGAGGACAGTCCGTCAGCATCATCAGAGAAACAAAATATGCAGTATGAATCTGAACTTGAAAATGCTGTGGCTGAGAAGGATGGACAAAAGGAAGCATTAACAGAAGAACTGGAGATGTGTTCAGATTCTGCAGAAACAGGCAAGCAAGATAAGATCTCTGTGGAGGCTGTGGACTGTATTACTGAGGTAGAAGGAAGTGTTCTACAGCAGGCAGAGCCAGACAGAGAGATTGTGGTGCAGGTGATGACTCAGGAAACCAGTTTTGACCCAAGCCTTTTAGATGACAGGATTAAGGAGTCAGAATTAGAAACAGGGGATGAGTCTGGGACAGAAAAGGAAAGTAGGACAGAATGGGTAGAAGATACAAAGCTGAAGGTAGGAGTTCAAACTGTTCAGTCTAGTGAAGAAGCAATAGGTGGGACAGTAGGAGAAAAAAATACTCCTTTCAAAGGTGAAGCACAGAATGTAGCTAAACAAGAGGAAGGTGAATCCAAAGAGGAGTCAACTGTAGATGTTAGTGTAGCTACTGGAAAGAAAGTTAGTAAAGAAACACCGGAAGAAAATGAGCAAGAGTTAGAGCTTGCAGACCACCATGGGGATGGATGTACTTCTGAAGAAGGTGCAAATAATTCCCTGGCACAGAAAGCCGAGTCGGATGCAAATGTTAGTGAGCACATTATACTGGAGGATCAAGCCAAGGAAAGACTGGAAGGTGATGGTGGTGTCTTTGGTTTTGATCAAGAGTCAAAACAGATACTAGAAACTGATAAAAAATGTGATGAAGAGAAAGCTTATACACAGAAATATGAGGGTCATGGAACAAAGGGTGCTGCTGGAAAAACGGCCCAAACAGATGAAGCTGGAGAAGGAAAAGGCAAAATAGAAACAGAAGACATCTTGACTAAAACTGACAGCTTGCAACAAAAAAAAGCTGATGAGCCTGAAGAAACAGGGGAAGCATCATGGAAAACTGAGGAGAAGACTGATGTGATGGAAGATGAAATCAAAGCATCAGATTCTAATAAAGTAGAAAAAATACCAGGTGAAAATGTAATGGAACAGGATTTGGAAAGTGCTGGCAATAACAGGGAAGAAAGCAAGGAGGATTTGCAGAGTGGTCGAAGGGGCAAGGGTAGATCTAGAGATGACTGTACAATATCCTAAGTTCAGAATCCCAAGACTACAAAAGCTACATGCCATTTGATCAGTCCCAGTACAGAAGCATGCACTTTGCACAATACATCAGGCCTTAAGAATACTCTTAAATTGAGGTGTTTTTTTTTATAGGTAACTCTCATCATAATACAATGTTATGTAAGTGGTAATGATGCAAATATTAAGTTACTCACTGACGTACCTGGCCACAAGAAATTGTGTGTGGGTTCAGTACTGCTGTGTCTCAGGTTAAAAGTTTATCACTGAAAAAGCAAGCTTCACAGATCTTCACTTTCTTGCCATTAAAACACTTTTAGTGTGGATAACTGCTACTGAGTAATTTCTATAGGAAACTCTTTGTTTTTCTAGCCTAGATGATAGATGTTTTGAATGTACTTAATGTGCCCTTCGTGCACTTATGCACATACTTATGTGTACTTGCATGCATGAGATCTACCCTAAGTACATTACCACTTCATGAAGGAACTCAGTGGATCAGCAACACTGATGTGATTTTGAGCCTTCTTTCTGAATGATTGAAGCCTAGGAACCAATTTGGGGATTTTTTCCCCCCATTGGAAAAAGATGATGCTCTCATTCCATTTTTGTGTGTTTCTCATATGGTCATAGTCCCAAATATAGTTAGGTCACTTTGAGTCTGTTCAGCCTAAGCAGTTCAGAAGGACAATATTCAGTTTGAAGGAAGCGCCATGTATACACGTCTTAGTTTGCTAAAGGGAATAAATATTACATGTTTACTTCATCTGGGCAGTTTGCACCACAATAGGCCTTTACTCCATGGCTCACATGGAGGTTTTTCTGTTTCTGAAGAAAGTTTCAATACACTCTGTAATGTCTGCTTAGATTTGCTATCAAGTACTGTCTAGTTATGAATATATAAAATAACTATTTTTTCCAAGAAGTTTTTTGTTTAAAACTGCATTTCTTTACACTTTTTTTTTTTTTTTTTTTTGAACTATGATTCTGAAAGAATCTGAAAATTTCTTTATCTTGGAAAATTCTTACCTCTTCCTTTCTGGAAAGAAGATAACTTTGCATGTCTTAATTCTCACTGGACATCAGACCAAAGACTATTGTTATTCTGTATAGTAGCCCCTGTGCCTTTTTGAAAAGCTGGATTGCTTTAAATTGCTGGCATAAATTAAACACTTTGACTCCATTGGTGTATTTCTCCTTGTATTTTTGCTGGTGCTTGGGAGGAAGAGCACGTCTTGCATACTTAAAAATCCATTTAAAGTTGTTCTAAGCAATGAACATCCCAAGGAAATGCAAATTGAGGAATTGGGGGGCGGGGGGGGAGCGCTATGGAAGGTTGTATTTGTGATGTTGCAAAGTTGATGGAGTACAAACAGACTGCAAAATGTCAAGATGTATATCAAAGTGTACTGAGCTGTATATAATTGAAATAAACATATTTTATACTCTAAATTGCCTGTCTAGAGCACTGTTTATAAACCTGCATCAATATTTATTTAAATCTGTATAATGTAAAAAACATTTTTTTTCTGCAGCTTTGTTTAAATTGATTGTGTTGCGCTAGAAGACCTATTTTACTAGGAATGGGCAGCCTTGGTGTTTGAAGACCTTTAATACATGACAGCATCCTTTACAGTTCTGTTACAGGTCACAGTTAACCTGTAACTCTTTTTTCATACGGCTTCTCTCCAACTTAGAACAGTTCCAGTATGGTTTCCCTAAGTATTAGCAGTTGTTCTTAAGGGTTTACCTTAAATGCTAATCTAAAAGGTCATAGACCTTAAAAGCATCTTTCATTACTATGTGGTAGTGTTTATTTAAAGATTTGTCTCTGTTGTACTTGAAAGAGTAATGCACAGTTTAATGTTGAAAGTATTTTAAATGCATTTGTATTTAAATGATAAATACAGTTAAATATATAATTAAACATCCTTCCCAGGCTTCACCTATACTTGTGGATGGATCCATAAGCAGCTCTCAGTGAAATTAGGAACATGTCAGTATTTTCTGTGTTTTTCATACAAGTTTGTTTCTAAAATGCTTCTGGATAGTTGAGGAGATAGTCAACTAATTTGAACTAGTTTTTCCACTCCAGAAAACAAAGTATCTGTAAGGGAGGTCCTTTTTAAAGCCAAGTCACAGAAGGAGAAACAATTCTAGTTTTAACTGTCCATTTACAAGCTTTTATCCCACAGTAAGTGTCCGACTCTCAGCGAAACTAGAGTAGGAGCAAGAACATTGGCATAGCTGCTGTACTAGAAATCCATCCTTGAGAACGTTACTGCTTGGTACGTCTGTTGGTAGCTGATCGCTGACTTCTGGAATTGGGCAAGTACCATGGAGGAAAAGGTCACTGTTTTCTTTTACCTCTTTCGTTTTTGCTTGAGTGTATACACACATCGAGTGAGAGGCAGAGGGCTCCCAGATAAATCAGTTTGAAGATAAAGGGAGCTGCTAGGTGTTCTATTCACAATTGAGTAATTTAAATATTTTATGCCAGCTAGCATTGAGTGAAATGTGTGCCATTAAAAAGGGAGAGGAGATGGTGTCTCAGAAGGAAATACCTAGAAAATACATCTTTCATAAAGTTACACAGCTGAGAACAGTTTTTAGCATTTTCCCTCCCATATCTAATGAAAACAAGAAAAGATACAGTTTGTCCCTTTCCTTATTGGTTTTGACTTTCAAGGGCAGCGAAATAGCAAATCATTCTTTTCATAGTCTTAACATGAAACCAAGAAATCATGAGAGGACGTAAAACCAAGATTCATATTTTCTGCTATTATGTTACCAGTTTTGCTTTGGGCAGGGACAATCTGATAAGCACCACACGCAGCATTTAAGACTTGTATCTCAAAATAGCTCCATAGCTCCAAATGCTGAGTTTTCTGTTCCAGACCTGGTGATCAGCACATGTGGCCTCTAATCCTGGCTTGTGCATTCCTGTGAATTTGGAGCTAGCCTGAAACGCTTTCAAAAGCAGTAGCTGAAGAAACTCATTTGCCTTATTCAGCAAGTAATAGTGAAAAAATTTGGTCAGTGTTTTCTTATTACAGAAAGGAACAGGCCTCCTGTCCTGTCTCTCAAAATCAGTATTGCAAGCTTGTGTCTTCTTTATCTTAAGCTCATTCACTGACCCAACAGCGTGTCCCCAGCAGCGTCTCTCTTTTGGAAAGAGGGGAAAGCATTTCTCAGAGTTTGTTATTGTTGTTTCCTGGTGATCCAGAATAAATCAGCAGATCTGGGAAAGGAGTATTATCCAACCTGCTATTGATTCGTGGAGGCTGTAATGAGTAGCTGCTTGGGGCTGCTGGTATGATTTCATGGGATGTTTTCCCATCCTCCAACTACAGTTTACCCCTTGCAATTGCATTGGCATTAGTTACTTTCTGGGCCATACATCATGCAAATAATTTGTGTTAAAATCAGCTGCTTCCCACCCTGGGCTCCCCTCCAGGTAGGAAGATACATCAGGGATCGGTGGCTGATTAGGGCGTGTTAGGTCAACTGTGCCACTGGAACAGCACCCACATTAGTAATACCTTGAGTCAATTACAATATCAAAGTAATAAGGATAGTAATTTGACTTGCAAACAGGCCTGTACAAAAGCAGAAGACACTGGTAAACACCCCCCCCACACACCCTGTGTTGTGCTGTCTCCCAGGTCTTCCCAGGGCCCAGCTCCTTCCATCAGCCGTCAGTTAAGCTCTTTGGTGTATGAAAGCCATGTATCAGTGCAGTGACTAGCCAGGGAATCATGTTCCCGAAGTTAAATCTAAGTGAGATGAGTGTCACACTGCCATTGTTCATCTTTGCATGTGAAATAGAGATGGTGACAGTTATAGATGACCATTTTAATTAGCTGCTTTTCATCCTAATTCAGTAGATTGCTCTTTTCTGCTCACCGGTCCTCAAGGTCCTCAGATCCTTGATCTGTTAGAAAAATGTCTCCTGACTGCAAAATGAATGCGACTGTAGAGATACCTGTTAAAGCTAAAGTAAGTTTTCTGTTAGTGTGAGGTTTTAAGAGAACAAGACCCAAGAGACTTTTGCCCGTGCATGCAGAAAAATTTTCGACATGAATGGCAGTTTTAACAAACTGATTTTTTTCTGTGGTCTTGTAAATCCTGATGCCAGTGTGTTATCTGCCCCAGTGGGCAGATGTCCATAATGGGTGAAGAGAGAACTGATGGTAAGACAGATTCGAAGGTCCATCCCAAAACTCAGGGAAAGGGGCTGGAAGAAGCTGGTGTGCTTCTTTACTGGAAACTAGAGGAGGTGTCCTTTTTCAGGCGGGCATTCTTCACCCCACAGCAGCAGTTGTGTTAATGAAAGTCACTTAGCTGAGTACATGACTAAGTTATTTTCAGGATCGAGATGGATTATTTGGACCCTTTGGAGTAAATAAATTTGGGCTAATTTTGTAGGGTCTAGAGTTTCCTTTTGCATCAGTCCTCATTCTCTTTCCAGTCCGTAGAACTCCATTTCTCAGTCTTTGCCAACCTATGACTTCAAGCCCTATCTCCAAGTCTGAATATTGCTGACCTTTCTTTTATTTATCCTGTCCTTGCTTTCTTCATCGACCATTACTTTTCTTCGCTATATTTCATCTTTCACAGAATTTCTCTTAAGCTTCCTTTCCTTCTCATATAGATAAGTGGAATTGTGTAGTTATTTTGAAGGGATTTATATTTGTGAATTTCTGTTACTCATGGCAGGTTACAAAAATCTGGTTTTTTTTGTTTGGTTTTTTCATATCAATGCTCAGGTGTAACAGTGGTGGGTGTGTTACAAATGGCTGGGAGGATAGGACTTGAGGAGGTTCAAAATGAATGCATAGAACCACTGAACTGGGATGTCACTTTAAGATCTGTATTTGGGTATTGCATCAGAAGTCAAGGTAAAGGTTTTATTCCCTGCTTTAGAAAGACTGCTGGTATATGGGGACTTGTATACCTAGGAGGGGAATGACATGACGTACCGCATTACTACTAGTTAATGTCTGCCATGTAGAGGGGCTCATATGAAAGCCAGGTTTCCCCATGATTTGATTCAGTACAGACTTTATTTCCTTTACTGCATGTGTTAACAAGGAAAAAAGGGGGAACCACAGGACTCTGGCACGTTCATGATTTGTCAGCAAACGAGAACTGGTATTTTTAAGGCTTTTCAGAAATACTTAAGTCTATCAACAGAATTCCCCTGGTAGAAGCCCACCAGAGTTTTCTCTGTAATTTGTAAATTGCTTTCCTTACGTTTACAGAAAGACTTTTTTCTTGACTGACCATTTAATTAACAGGCCCGACCTTAGATGTGGAGCTGAGTTCTGAACGCCCTTGCTTCTGAACAGGCGACAGCTTGCTGGCAAGGGAGGCAAGCTAAATAAACCTGGAGAAAACATTCATGTCAAACTTGTGGAGTAAGACCCGTCTGAGGTCAACATATCCTCACTGTATCCTGTATATTGTACACATTAAGTATAGCTGAATACTATATTCCAGTGTGCTTCTGTTGACGTGTATCTGAACAAACTAAGGTTGCTAATAAGGTAACTTTATTGATAAGGAAATGTGTGAGTACCTGCTAAAATGCTTTCACATTCTGTACCCCTTAATAGGGAAGGGAAAACCCAAGTGATTTGGTTACTTTCTAGTTCTTTTTGCCAGCTGTCTCGTTCTGTAGTGTGCACTTTATTAATGAATGCCCCACGCATCCATATGTTGATCTGTAGCACTTCTAAGTTCAAGTGTAGCATAACAGCTGGTCCAGATTGTCCATTGCTTACTTGGTGTTTGACCAGGAGAATTGACTATGAAGGTTTAAAGAGAAAAGAAAGCTTTACCAGACTGCTGTGTTGGAAACAAAAATAACTGAATGGGCAAAGGTTTGTTCTGGTCATAATATTGGACATAACACACAATGCCATTACCATGCTGTTTAGTAAAAGAAGTGATGATGTAAGGTGCTGAGAATGTGCTTAGCTATGATTATAGGTGTTTACAGTATTTTCAGTATGCTAAACTGTAAAGATTTGAGATATTTTGTGTTGCAGTTGTGTCTGACCCTAGAGTTCTTGCATGTTAACCTAACGTAGAAGATTAGCCTCTTTGCATGCAGCTGGGTGCTGTTACTGCCGTGACAAGCATGCTCTGTGAGAATGACATAACATCCCCTGGCTGCAGCCCCTTCCCAGCCCTGTGCTGTCTGTGGCCTCGTTTCCTGTGGTACGTGCATTACATTCATCATTCATTTCACTAACCTTAATGGTTTGGTCTTATATCAGGATGCACTCTGAAATGTGCAGCACAATCAAATTGGCACTGAACTTTCAGTTTTCTTTTTCAGACAGGCTGAAAAAACTCATTGATGAACGAGAATCCTTACTAGACCAGGTAATCACAGGAAAACGCAAATGCTGTGTGCTCACTAACTCTGTGATAAGAGTAGCATAGACGAAGAAAACCAAGGTGTAAGGCATAGAACAGCAGTGAGGTTGCCTTTCAAAAGGTGTGCTGGGTTGCTCTTGCTGAGAACATACTGCACTGCTTGACACTTTATTCTTCCCCTGAAACATTCCTCCTGTGCGTTAACATAGGATACAGGGAAGGAAAACCATGGCCCACTGTGCTTGTTCTGTGTTGCTAACCAGTCACATTCAGTGTCCTTAGTCACCTACAACTCCTACTCCAGGAGTATATCTGCAAAATACTACTTCAGATTGGCCAAGCCCAAGACACAAACAAATACAGTCCAGAAAATGTAGAAGCAAATACTGTCTCAGAGAGTAATCCTTCCTCATCTGTGGGTAATGGGCCTTTTGGAAGAAAATTCAGGAGGAATTGCAGTAGATGGGTAAATAGCAATTAAAGTAAGTATTGCTGGTACCATGATATTCCATAGTGGGTATAAAGCTCACTCAAAGAAACTTCAGCTGATCTGTTTCTTTGTAGGGCACTCTATACTTTCATTTATGGACTGTATCCTTGCCCTTGAGACTTTACACACACCCAAACGTGGTGGTTGGTTTTTAGGAATGTTTTACATGACTCCGACTACAGAGCATTTATGGCTTTGCTAATAAAAGAGCCATCTTCCACTTGTTATGTTTGGTATATGCATAAGCACTGATACTTAAGATATGATGAGTCATTTGCCAACAGAATTTCTAGAAAATTATTTTGCAAGTAAAGATTTTTGGGGGTATTTAGGTTTTAAAAAAGACAACTTTTTTTTTTTTTAATAGTACTTGAGTGAATTTGAGCACTGAGACAAAAACCTCCCTTACTGATTTTATTAACTAATTATTTTGTGACTTTCAGATTAAAAAATTAAAAGGACAACTGGAAGAAAAGCAAAAGAATGGCAGGATGGAAAACACGCAGTCAGAAGATGAAGTTCTGGAAAATGGGACAGATATGCACATGATTGATCTCCAAAGTGAGCTGCAATTTGATTTAAAGAGAACTTTTGGTGTCTTGCATGTGAATGAGAAAAATGTATCTGTGCAATAACCATGTGCCTCTAAGTAAAAAATGAGCCTTTGGTTCTAAGGGAGCTTCAAACTGGGAGCCAGCCATGCACCTCTCTGCTAGAGGTGAGGGAATGATTATCCTTGTTTGACCAAGATTGCAATTGGAAATCTCCCTTATGTTCCCCAGGAGAACTGGGACGAGTTTCTGGTTAATTCTGCTTTCAGAGTGGTCAGAAGGGCATCAGGCAAGACTGGGAACAGCACCTAGCTGCTGGGCACTTGTTTTGACAGAGCACTTCCTACTTTACTGCTGCCCCAAGGAGATACCTGTAGCATGGAAATCTTGTGACAGACTTACTAGACACTGTTAACACTTGTTCTGACATCTCTGATAAATCTGCAATTCTTTTAGGAGATGCCAACAGACAGATCAGTGACCTCAAATTCAAACTAGCAAAGTCTGAGCAAGAGATAACAGCACTGGAGCAGAATGTAAGTTTCTGGGTTGTTCTGTTTGCCTAGGCATGGTGAGAGTGCAAAGGGGAAGTGTATTTCATTATATGACTAAATGAAATCATGATTACTGTGATCTTTCCCTTAAAATAAGCAGGAGTATTGGAGCATCAGGCCTACTGAACTTCAGTCATTAAAGACTAAATTGCTTTCATTTATGCATGGGGAAAGTGAATATATCCTTAAGTGAAGGAAAAACATTCAAAGACAAAGATATGCTGAGAGCACTTACTGAACTCTTCAGAATCCTTTCTTATACCTAGCTATTGACAATTTTAAATGGCTGTCAGCATATAATGTAGAATATATGGATCTTACACAAGACTGTTCAATTTGGGCTGCTTGTTCTTGTCCAGCGTATGTCAGCGATACTCTTGCTAAGTATATTCTGTTGTTGCTGGAAGAATATTAATATGGATATGTATAAAAGCTCTGGAGTAAGTTAGCATGGCCAGGCTTCCTTGGTATGTCTTTTTCCCCTCAAAACATACCTTTATTTTATGGAAGAAAAGTAAGCATCTCTCTAGTTACTGCTTAACTACTGGTGGAAGTGTAAAGCTTCACAGTAACTTCTTGGTACAGCTTTTAATTCAAGACATCTGCCTTCACCTTAGGTAATACGACTGGAAGGTCAGGTAGCCCGATACAAAACTGCTGCTGAAAATGCTGAAAGAGTAGAAGATGAACTGAAAGCAGAGAAACGCAAACTACAGAGAGAGGTAACTCTAAATGCAAGCTTAAGTTCTTGTTGTACAACCTGAATCTAGAAGTAGCTTTCAGATGCTCAGATTCATGTGCTGCTTTGCAGCTGTGAATGTTCCTGTGGTTTGACAAGCTGAAGAACTCCTACTTTGCTGTCCTTGTCCTTTGTGATACCTGAAGGCTCATTACTTTGGGTGTTACAAATTCTGGGTTTATAAATACTGATCCTTTTAGATCCTTTTAGATTACTGGTCCTTTTAAAGCATGTTATTCAGAAATTATAGCAGTAGAAAGCTGGAAATGCTGTTGTAAAGTTAATTTGTATGATGCATTATTTAAGCACAGTGCCACACCTTACAATGACAGTCTAAACTTTCAAGCTTTCAGAGTCTAAACTTGAGGGCTAAATGGATACGAATCATTCTTATTGAGCCTGGTTTTCTTGCTCTGTCAATTTATTCACACCTCTTTGCTGTCATATGTCTGTCCATGTTCTTCTTAAAATGTTGCATCTTCAAGCTGTCTGTAATTTTGACCTTACTTGTCTTACCAAACTTCATATTCTCTCCAAGCAGCTGCTACAACCAGCTTAAATACGTTTGTCAGCTTCTTTCACACCCGTTTCCTGAGGTTTTGGTTTAGTTTTGGGGGGTTGTTTTTTTCTTGGGTTTGGTTTTTGTCTGTGTGGCCCTTTGCTTTTTCTGTATACTCCTGCTCTACTGCCTATAAATATTGCTTTGTGCAATCTACCTCTCTCTCCTTCTCCATCCCATGGTGGGTTTTATTAGAGAATTAAGTCACCCAATTCACAGTTGTGGCTGTAGTTACAGGAACCAAAACATGAAAACCAGGCAGTGAGACAGGTATATGTCACCCATCAGGTGTCTCTGTGCCTGTGAAGTTTAGGCAAACTCTGAGCCGTTTGTTCAGCATCCTGTATATAACTTTGACTCTTGGCACCGTGCTTAGAAATTATCTCTCTCTGCAGCCTTCAAAGCAGTAACACAGCATTCACTTTTCACAGAATCACAGAATAGTTTGGGTTGGAAGGGACCTTAAAGCACACCCCAGTTCCAACCCGGGACCCCTTCCACTAGAGCAGGTTGCTCCAAGCACCT